ATATCTTTGACTATTTATCAATTATCAACAAGATGACTAGATAGAATGGCTGGTGCTTGCAGCCTTTTAACATAATAATCATGTTCATTCAGCCACTAGAAAAACACTATTCTTTGTCAACTATAGCTGACACCCAAATATTGCTATAACTGAATGAATGCACACCTTGACCCCTGCATCCAGTGACTTTGCTGCCATGATGACAAAAATTCACAATAAAATAAAGGCTGCTCTTGAGAAAGCAGCCTCCACCATGAAAACACAATATAATCATCACTGTCACCTTGTCTATGACTATTCCATCCATGACAAAGTCTGGCTAAATACTACCAATCTCCATCTACCCAGACTGAAATGCAAACTTGATGATAAACACACTGGTCCCTTTCCCATTATTGCAAAGATCAAGACCTCCACATATCACCTTCACCTTTCAACACATTGGCAAATTCACAACATCTTTAACAAATTCCTTCTAACACCTTATATCACATCTGCTTTCTCAAACCAGAAACACTCATCACCACCACCAGACCTAATTGATGATGAAGAATATTATAAAATCAATCAAATATTACACTACAAACTCTGAAAAATCAAGGTGTATAGTGATGGCATGACAACAACTATTGATTATTTGGTTAGTTGGAAGGGTTACAGCTCTGAATCTAATCAGTGAGTAAATAAAAAATGAATGGATGCAGTGGATGCTATATGTGATTATAAACTATCCCTAATTAAGCCATCAGAACAATGGTCTTAAGGAGAAGGTAATGTTATGATTTTATCCTTATTCTATTTCTTTTCTATGACTAACCCCTATCTATACTTAGTCAGAATACCTAGACAAGCACTTAAAACCATGAGACCAAGCTTAGTCATCATAACTAGGCTGAGTCTGTCATTGTCTTTTGATGCAACAGTGTTGTCTGACAATGCATAATCAGTCTTTTATATGCAGTAGCAATGTCCAAGAACAAAGAGCACAAAAGACATGACAACACACAATAGGTAGCCATATTATTAGTTACAACTTGTATAGTATTTAAGGAGGCTCACTCTTGCTGGTAATCTCCAGCTTCAAGCTAAAGTTTACTTTCACACTATTCTATACTCAAGCCAATCCTAAGGCCTTATGACATACCAATCAGAATATGCATTAGTGGACTCTGTCAATCATCTGAAGTGCAAGGTGACATCAGTTTATCATGTGGTTCTGCTCACATGATGCTTGGGTCTAACACTGTGAGGACTGTATTTTAGTGAAATATGCTTGCTATCTCTTTGATGAGCCCACCAATCTCAATATTGACTCACTGGAGCTTGTTGCAATGAATTTATGGAAATCATCTCAAATAGTGTCACTGAATGGAAAGACTTATATGATGATATTCACTGATAGTGGTACATCATTCAAGGTGGGGGAATTTCTAGCAGACAAAGCAGATGATACTACTATAGCTGCTTTTGACAGATATAAGCATATGGCTGAGACTCAGACTGGCTGAAAGCTTAAGCATGTACATGCTGATCATGCTTTTGCAGAGGTAAAGTGAAAACAATACTGCAAGGAGCATGGGATCATTCTGGAATTAACTGCATTCCACTCATCAGCCCAAAATAGATTAGCTAAACATGTCTTACACACCACCATGAAGGATACAAGAGCTCTACTAAGTGACTCTAGCCTTGCTGACCATTACTAGGTTAGGACCATCTCTATATCAATCTTCATATAAAACCTTATTCCTTCAAGTCACCATCCTGGAGTGGTACCAGCAGAGGGTTTCTCAAAGCAACAACAGGATGTGAGATTTTTATGAGTGTTCAAATCCACTTGCTAGGCAAAGAAACCTATAGCTGATGGGATTTTGGTAGATAGCAGAACTAAATTCAATGATTGATCAAAGAAATGCATCTTTCTCAAATATTCAGAGTCTAATTACTGTGTACTCAATCAATTGAAACATGTGTTCATATCTCATAATATCATCTTTGATGAAGGACCAGTGCACTGAAGTGTGAGTATGGGGGAGACAGAGAATGAACTTGCACTCACTACTTCTACTTATACTGAAATGCCTATGCTAACTGAGTCAATGCCAGATGCTCCCATAGAATTAACTCTTCACTGATCAATATGCTTAATGCATTCTAGTGCTAATACTGCCAAATCTCTGATATCAAAGCAATGAGAGGCCAGGGCTCATATAAGTGGAAATGATTAGGCAATTAACAGCAAATAGCCATATGCTTCAATAGCTTCTGGTAACTCACCTGATCTATATATCTCACAAAATTATCACAATACACTGCATATTGATAAAAAGTGATAAGAGGTAGCTATGGATATGAAATACCAAATGCATATGATGAAGCATATATGGAACCTAGTTGACAGACCAGTGGGTGTAAGTGTGATAGATTGTAAATAGGTCTATGGTATGAAATGGGATGGCAATAGTAATTGGATCAGAAATAAGGTGAGGCTTGTTAGGAAGGACTACACTCAACAGTATGGACTCAACTATAATGATACTTAGACTGTGATGACTCATCTTGAATCTGTATAGATGTCAGCTGCTGTTACAGCAAAGCTTGATCTTGTCTTATAGCAAGTGGACTTTGTTTCAGCATACTTGAATAGTGAGACAAAAGAAAACATCTATATGTATCAGCTTCCAGGATACATAGTCAAAGAACAAGAGAATAAAGTGTGCAAACTCATTCATACTATTTATGAGACTATGCAGGATGGCTATAATTGGTTTGAGACACTTGAGAAAACCTACAAAGACCTTGGATACCATGCATCAAAGACAGACCCATGCATATGCACTATTTTTGAGTCTGGAGATAAGTATACTATCACAGATACATACACTGATGATTTGTGAGGAGCATTGTTGACTACAGAAAAGGCAAGCCAACAGAAGAAGGAATTAGAGAAGAAATAGAAGCTCACTGATATGGGAGAGAACCATTACTTTCTGGAGATGAAGATTGAATAAGACCTCAAGGCTAGCACTATCACCTTCTTGCAGTGCCTATATTAGGAGAATATATTCCTAGACTTCAATCTTAGATATGTATAGTTATGAACCACCCTTTTATCTGTCAGAATCATACTTGACAAATCACAGTCTCTGAATACTCAAGCAAAGAAGGATGCTATAGAAAGATTCCTATACTGATAACTGCTAGACCACATTATGTGGTGACAGCTTGCAACTTATCCTGACTTGTGCTTCTCTGTGAGCCTGCTTGCTCACTTCCAGTCTAACCCAGGGATGGAGCACTGAAAAGCATTAATATATATCCTTGGATATATAAAGGGGATAATAGACCTTAGTATCTCTTTCTCACATGAGCAGCCATTAATGCCTGTTGGATTTGTAGATACAGACTATAGAAGTTGTAAGGATATGACTTGTTTGACATCTAGCTATGTCTTCACTATAGTGGGTGGTCCAATTTGCTGAAGCTCAAAGTATCAGGCTACTGTCACCCTGTCCACTGTTGAGGCTGAATATATTTTTCTTACTTTTGCAGTGCAACAGATGATATGAATATTGTCTTAGATAGATGAGGTCTAACTACCTCAACCTTGCCTTGATGTATTGTACAGTGACAACCAGAGTGCTGTGGCATTAATGACAAACACATGGTCTCATTAGAAAGTCAAGCATATCTATATTTGAGAACATTTCATTAGAGAGCTTGTGAAAGACAGTGAATTACATTTTGAGTTTGTTTGAGGGAATGCAAACTCTGCAGATATGTTTACTAAGCTTTTGCCTCATGATATGCACAATGGTTTTCGGCCTAAGAGCGTTTTCCTCACAGTAGCTGCCACGGTAATCGACGAATGAAACCAGCATTTATATGTCAGCACCGTCGTCGGGGAGAAGCTTGTAAGGGAGTAAAACACCTTCAACGAGGGAGCTAATTGGTTCTTCATGATGTTGTTGTTTTTTTTTGCTCGAAAACGTACACCGTGGAGGCCCAATGGGCTGGGAGTAACAGATTTCGAGGGATGGAACGGGCCCTCAGGCTTCAGGCATAAATGAAGATCATGGGTGTAGAAAGAAAGCTGTTGCCAAGCGAAGTGTGAAAAGGAAATCTGTTGACACGCCACTTTCGCGTCGTTGATCATCATGTGAAAAATTTGCCGCTCTCGGTTGAGTTACCTGGCTGTGGAGTTTGCTGCGCCCTTCACGCTGCCTGTCGACTTTCTATACGTGAGTATAATTTCTGATTCTGCCTCTTTTCTAAGCATGCTAAAATGGAACCCTCAGGTTCAAGCGGTGACGTTATGGTGAGCATTCCGTAGGCTTATATTCTCCGGTGCTAGCTTACTATCGAATAAATAGGTTCCGGTCAACAATCGCGCTCTTCAATTTCCGTGTATCCCCCATTTTTGACATAGAAGATCACGATTCTGGTATCTATCTGCCCCCCACTATGTCGCCACGGCTGTCTGCATCCACGCCGTACAACCATCTCCGGTCCCAGACACACCTTTCCGACACCAGGGGATCCAACGGTGCCGTCCGCTTCTCCTCGCGAGCCCTCCCCAGTGCGAACGGCGGCTTCCCCCCCCCTTCCTAGTTCCCTATGCATGTCATAACCACCACCGGCCTGTCACCCACCACTGCGCTATGGATAATGCAATGTATTGCCGATAGGTGTGCCCAAGTCCACCATCGACACCTACGGGCCCTAACTCCACCCACCTGCAACATTCTTGGTCATATTCGCAATGGTACGGTACATATCATCCTAGAACTTTTTGGATGCCACTCGTTTTCACCTTGCGGCACGTTTCTGCAGAATAAAACTTCCTTCCTATCTCCATGAATGCATCATATATTTCGAAGTATGATTGAGTATAAGTTGAAATTCCTTGTGGAGCACGGCCATAAGTTTCTATCGCTTTGTTGTATTCTCTTCTTTATATTCGGAAACAAGAAAATTAAGGATAAGAGTGTTGGCATGGCCATTGATCAGATATCTTTCCTACGCTCTGAATTCTACACCATGCACCTAAAAGATGAAGAAGCCGAAGGAATATGGTGGTCATTTTTTATGGAACGCTGTATACGAAACTAAGAACGTGAACTGCTTTCTCGTATGATGGTATGACTACACATCGTGTATCACGAATAGACTGCAGAGTGGAAGGGAAACAATGACAAGGCAGCCGCTGAAGGTATCGAATCCAAAGGAAATTACTTACCGATATGAACGCCACGTTTCATCTTCACGGCCCAGTAGCTGAACCTGCCCGCTGAACAAGTGTGACACATATCGAGTCCCATATAGGTTTCCTTTTCATCGGTTTTGACTTGCTCTCGCGGTCGCCGACGAAAGGCGACTTTTGGATGATACCCGACAAGTCTATATTCTCCGTCGAAAAGAAGAGCTTCAAGAAGCCAACATCAACATCTTGTCCCTCCCTTAGTGCGTACATATGCGGCACAGTCCCACTCGCGCCGTACCCGATGGTCAACAACTCTCTGGCAGGAAGAGAAACATCAACGGCGCCATCTTTTGCACTTCCCGGCTGATAGTACGAATCTGAAAAGGCAGGTGATCTGGTCAGTCGAACGGGAAGTGAGGATCAGCAAGACAGCGCACCGATGCTCAAATCACTGACATCAAAATAGAACATCGAAACATAAAGAGGTACCGACATCGTATTGGTTATCTTGAATCCATACATTGCGTCCTCATCGACATTGACGGAAATCACACCTTCAATGTTCAGATTATCGCCATCGGGTTCCAAAATCTCTTGTAAGTCATCTGTGAACTTCCCGGTCTCTTTAAGCTTCATACACTCGAGCGTGACGTTGCTGGCCAGGGGGGCCCCTTGGCTAGTAGAACAATGAAGGTGCCAGTAAAAATCAGCGGAACACTGAAGAATGCGGTGGATAGTGTCTGAATCATCGATTTTGACTTTGAATGGCATGCGTGTTAGCTCATGTTGTCGACAGCGCTCATCCATGATCTCGAAATGGACAACATCACCATCCGCGCCAATGACCAGATCCGGCTTATCGCTGCGCTTCTCCACCAAACGGAATCGCCTCTTTGCTGCTTCGATGCTTTGCATCTCGTCGGCTATCTGCTTAAAGACACCGAGTAATTTTATATCAGGCTCGATGAAAAGGCAAATATCCTGTCCCTCGCCGACTCCAGTCTGCAAGGCATATCCAATACTAGCAAGGGAGAATGGTGTTTCATCGCCGCGCGGAGCGAAATCGCACGTGGTGGTAAAAGCGGTGGTGGTTGAAGCAACGACAGTTCCAAGCACAGATACCACGTTTCTATCAGCGAAGACAACGAACTCGGCCTTGCTTGTGATCCCATGGGCCTCGCCAGCTTCCAAAGTGTACCGTCCCGGCATGCCAGAGGCACGGATGGGGTATAATTCACATTGTGGGTTGGTTACTTTGGAATTGAAAAGATATCGGTTTTGGTGGACTCCTTTGCACTGTGGATCTTGCCTATAACAGATAGATCAGTTTTAGTAGACTAGGATACGAAAGTGGGCCTACGCGGGAAGATCAGGCAGATTGGTTATTACATCCTTGTATGTAAGCTTGTCGACGCCGTTGTCCTGTAACAAGATCAACAACGCTGAAGTAAAGGCGCCACGTCCGAGTTTCTCCATGGCTGCCTGTCCCGCTTTACATGCTGAAAGGAGCATATGTGACGACAGACCGGACTTCTCGAATCCCTTTGCAACGACACCCGCCCGAGCATCCGGCTCAATGTCATGCAAGAGGTCTTGATCAACTGTATAAGTCTTAGAGAGATCGGTCCCGCGAACGGCAAAAGTAGGATCATTGCCTTCCATTCGCGTGCCCGAGCCAGAGTGACAACAATCAAAAATGACGGTCTGTCGATGCACTTGATCAGATACCATGCATGATAAGAACAGGTGGAACCTTACGATGTTGTCAGATTTTTTCGCAGCGAGGTCTGCAAGAAGATGAGAGAGCCTCACATCTAGTACTCCTTGACCTCGCTTGGAGTCACTCGACTCGCTAGGATCAAAGTCGTGTGAAACAAGCATTTGTATTTTCTTGCTGGTGCTGGGCCATCCAGACGGCGCATCCGCTTCGGCTCCGTGCCCTGCATAGTAGATGAGAATCGGGTCGTCCTTTTTGATTGCTGCATTGTCCCCAAGCCTCTTAATCTCTGTCTCGATAGTAACTCTCGTGGCATCCTCGTTGCGAAGATTCTTGATTTGGTCTTTTGGAACGAGGAGTCTCTTGCAAAAATGTATTGACTGCGTCAGCATCGGCAACTGCACCCTTCAGATCTCGGACCCCATTCGAAAAGTATTTGTCGATGCCAATAACCAGTGCATATAGGGGCGGGGTAGAGCTAACAATCCCATAATCAGTACGTATATCCTAGGACGTGAAAATAAAACCAACCATCCAAAGGTAATAGGCTGAGGAGGACTATGAAGGATAGAGTCATTATGGGTCATTCAGATGGACAGGATCTACGTACGACGGAAGAGATTCAGGCTTTTGCTCTGGAAGACCATCTATAAACCTGAAAGGTTTGAACGTTAATCAGTTGATCGTCTTCTGCACAACGATCTCTTACGTTGGAGGAGGCGGGGACCTGTCGAAACCAGAGATGCAATAGGAATCGTCAGGAGAATTGGAAAGTTACTGACAAGCCCAGATGCCATAGCAGATCTGATACAGTACTGACTGTGATGTTGAGCCAGTGAAGAAACATCCAGATGGAAGACGGAGACGCAAGAGTGGATTGTGCAATGTACATGTGATTTGGACCACATGGTAAAGAAGCACGACACTTATAGATGTGGCAAGGCCCGTTTCATCTGATTCTCTGAACAATGTAAAAAACTGCTGCAAAGGAGATCCGTCCGTGCATTGACACCTTCCGTCAATCGGTGCCACTTACCAGCCATGGATCGTTGCGCTTGCCAATAGAAACACCGGATAAGATATTATCAGAGAATGGTGCTGTGGTCGGGTCATATTAGTCGGCGTCGAGTTATTGCTTGAGGGCAGCGCATTGGGAGCGGTATGATTTGAAGCCTCCTCAAGCTGTTTACGAGCCTCTTTATTCACAGCACAGGTAGATGTTATCGCAAGTAAAGCTGGCGCTATCTTCGCTATCTGGTCCTGAATGCCATTCATCCACCGCGAGAACAGCAAGTCCCACGATATCTGCTCGTTTTTTTTTCGCACAAAAGTCAGGCACTCGGCCAAACGTATGGACTCAATGCAAAGAATGCCCAATTTATAAGCGCATTTTTGGTATAGCTGGGGAGAGGTGTTGATAGAACACGTTGGAGACGAAGTGTGGAGGCAAGCGCATACCGGGGAAGTGGAAATGAGGCTCGTCGATCTGCCTGCTGTGGTACGAGACAGCATCCAAGTGTTTGTATAGAAAAAACCGGCCACTTGAGAGCTATCGCGAACGAAAGCAGAAATGCAATGCGCAAGCGAAACATGCCCTGCGTATTCGCCTTCGGATGAATTCGGTGAATGGAACAAAGGGAAAAGCGCCGATGGTCGCAAATCCCGCCTTACGCGATGCATTCGCGACGATTTGAAGCCGACCTGCAACCGTTATGTCTAGGGTACGCGGCCACAAGAATTGCGCTCGTGAGGTGTTGCCTCTTCGCGTAGGGGGACAAACGTCATCAAGAAGACCAGAAGAAAAGTATGTCTCTAGCTGAGACTGAAAGTCTTGGATGGAATCGATACTCTTCGGGCACAGCCTTTGCAGGCTAGAGTAGTAGTTTAGAGAAGGGGAGGAGAGAATACTGTTGAACGCGAAGGCAGCGGGTGACAAAGGAGTGGGAGAGCGGAAAAGGGGCTGGTTTAGCATCCCAGGATAGTCAAACGAAGAGGAAATCCCATCGTATTCTGTCGAAGAATGAGAAAAGTGATTTGACCATCTCATCAGGAAACTCACTAAATGGCAAGTAACCGGACTGAGATGGACCCACAGATACTGTCGAAGATCGACTACGGGCGATAAACTACGAATCGACGCGTTCTGTACGGCTGTAATATCCATATTATATCTTAAAAGCATATATCTATGTCTCCGGGAGCACCGCTAGCATGTAGAGCAAGAGAGGGACGTCGTTGGTGAAAGCAGATTCCAAGTTTGGATGTGCGCCACAATGCCGTTTTCCGGCCATCCCGGAATCCGGACCGAATTCACTGATACCGTTCTCGACGCCCCTCTCATCACCGAACTTTCTGTCTGACATGCTGCTTGCTGCTCTCACGTTTACTGCCGCGAATTGCTACCACTGAACCTCTGTTGGAGCTTTTGTTCTGTCTTTCGGATGTCAATACTCTGGCCCACTGGCACGAATCTGTAGAGCGCTTTGTCATCATCAAGACGCGTATGTTGGATGGTTCTCGCTCTTGGGATTTAGCGCTGACATCGTGTATCTCATAGTCTGCAGATTTTGAGAAGCCGTTTTTAGGACGTTGAAAGAGGACAGCGATCGACGGAGCTGACTACAGGCTTTTGGCAGCATTGTAGGTAATTTCTTCCATATGCCGGGTCATGATTTACAGCTCGCTACATAGGAACATATATCACAACTCGTGTATCTAGAGAAGAGAACCGTTTAATTCAGCAGCGGGTGTGCTCCCACCCAAAGATTGAAGGACGCAAAGAGCCAGTTATACAATACAATCGCAAGAAAGCGCCAAGGTAAGCTGTTCTGATATCTTCTGCTCCTTTCTCTCAACCAAAGTATAGCAATTATAGCATATTTGGGACGATTTTGTACCACGAATGGTTCCCAACGGCTTGCTGTAACTTTGATGATGCTCGAGGATCAGCGAATTGGAAGGTAAGGAGGGCGCATAACTGCCCGCTGCTTTGCATTACTTGAATGAAAGGTCTCAACTGCAGTCAATAGAGGCTGAGAGTTTCTGACGGCCATCAATGTGCGTATAGCTCCTTCTCTCCTTCTCTCGCTGAATTGAATTACCTTTTTATAGGTGGTCTAGGAATCAGCAGCACATTTGGGCTTGTTCTCATCCCACAGCACCACAGCTACAACTATTAACCTTAAGCCAAATTGAAGTCCCTCGCCAATCATGACAACAGTAACCCTGGCACTGGCTCATACGTCAAAAGCTTACGTCCACGTCAGATTCCCCGTCATCCCTATCCACAGCCCTCACCCATCTTATTTTTCGCTTGCATATCCTAGCTTCGATTTTGCGGTCCCCAGAATTGTGTTCCATTCCCTTGCGATCCGCCGGATAGAGTGTTGTCATTCTTGTGCACCGTTTTCCAGACACGCATACCACCCAAGTCGCTTGTTTATCCTAGATTCCAAGTAGGCCTCAAATTACCTTTTATTCAAGTTCTCTGATGCCGATAAACTACAACTAGGTTGGACCAGGGATGGAAACGCTGGAGAAGAGCAGCGAGTTTTTCTTCCAACGGAAATGCCGGTGGGCAATGCGATAAAAACTATGATCATTGTAGAGATTGGCCACCACTTCTGCTGGGCTACTGCGTGACGACTTTACCGATTACCAACGATGTCTACGCTGGAATTCTGTCAGATTTACGAAGTACGCTTACTACTTATAATTCAATGGACCTCGACTAAATCTTGTTTGATAGACTGTCTCTGCCTCCTATTCTCCGACCAAGTGTTGTGCTTCAGTCATCGTCATCCTTCTCTCTCATGTCTCAATACGAGTCGGACTCTGCCGTTCCAGTGCATCCTTACGCTCAGCTTTTTCACGGGTCCCCATCCAGTCCTGACGTACGAATATTTCCTTACCCACCGTATCAACTATGAACTGAGGGATTACCATGCTTCAAAATTGTTGCCGGTCTGTGCTTCGGTTCGATATCATCCATCAGAGTAACGTACCTCTATAGATTGGAGACTCGAACTTCATCTGGCTTTTCTATGTTTTCCCAAGTGTTCAAATGTATATTATCTTATAGATTCAGAATATGATTACGTCCAGATGCTTGGAATGATTACAGAGAGTGAGATGAGCTTGAGTGCTCGAGTTTCAATGAGGCCATTCTTATTATGCAAGTCTAGTCTGTATAAAAGACAATTATCGAAAAGAACTTCCATATTATAGAGGGCCGTTGGAGTCCAATAGTCTTTTGTGGATGACATTGATCACACTGTGGGTATATATAGTTGACATATTTCGTAACACCTTTGTGTCCATTCTTCCTAGGTGTAAGCAGTTTTTACGCATCCACCTCATGCTCAACGTTCTTCACTTGGTTGATACTTCCTCCGTCAACAAAATCCTTCTTCACCTGAGATACCCTCTCTTCATCTGCTAGCAAGTATCGCTCCGGTCGTTCCATCTGAACAGCCTCCTTATGTCGGAAGGCAAAAACCATTCCCCTGTGCTCTCTATACAAACGATCTATATCCTCTAGATGCCTATTCGAAGTCTCAGGATAAAAGAGGTATACAACCTAGAGAAAGCTTGAGCATGCCACCGTCTTTCATCAATAACTATGCATTGACCCACAGGAATAATCATGATATTAAACGTCATCCAGATAAGGTAGAACTTCCAGCCGAGGTTCTGAATGCCTGGAGGCGTAGCTTGTACGACGCAATAGTTGGATATCCAATTGCTCCCCGTGGCCAATGCCGCGCCCATTGTCCGCATTGATAGGGAATTGATTTCCACGGGGTAGAGCCAAGGAATGCCCTACAGTAACATAGCACTCAGAGAACTATCCTGTCAAAAAGGTACGCTCCGCACTCACCTGCCAACAGATCCCGAAGAAGATGTAGTACATGAAGAAAAAAGTGGTCGCGGCGGCACCATAGTTCGGCCTGCCGCGGGAGAGCAAAGCTGTAATGAAGATGTAACATACAGCCTGACCTGCCGCACCCCACATCAAGAGTTTTCTCCGACCGGCTTGTTCGATAAGGTGAAGGCCAGCGAAGGAGAAGACGAGGTACGAGATGGCATTGCAGGCAGCGAGGAGTCGAGAAAGACGGTTCGATAGACCGACGGAGTTCTGTAAGACCAGAGGAAGACTGTGAACAGTCAGCGAAGGAACAGATGTTAAGGGCTTTTAACATACTAGTAGCTGGTGACATTGATCCCGGACAACTGCTGCATCCATTGCGTCCCTAAGGATGGGAGCGTCAGGAACTTAACTCCAATGGAGAACGCATAACTCACCGGCGCCGAGGCCCATACGCTTCACCATACCAGTCTCGCCAGTGCGCCCATGCAAGAGATCCGACAAGCTAGGAGAGGTCTCTCTTTCGATGCGAACTGCCTCCAGAATCTCCGCCTTTTGTGCCATAATGACAGCGTCTGTCGACTTGGCGTGCTCTCCTTCAAGTGCGACGAGGATTGACATACCCTCTGCCTCACGCCCATGAGCGAGAAGCCAACGGGGACTCTCGGGAAGCCACGGAACGGTGCAAAGCATGATGGCGGAAAAGACAAGCTGAAAAGCAAGTGGGAACCTCCAGCTGACGCTCCCTTTGACATAGCTCAGTCCGAACGTCATCCAGTTGCTGATCGCGTATCCCGCAATGTTCATGCTGAGTAGGGACGTTATTCGCGTGCACACGCAGAGATAGAGAAGATTCCATACATCATTCCAAGAACGATAACCTTTCCGCGAAGTGAGGGCTTGGTGGTCTCGCTTTGCCAGACTGGGGCTGAGGCCGTGTTAATGCTACACGGACATCATTGAGAAGAAAAAACGGCAAAAGAACGGGGAAACGCACCCATTGCCTATGCCAGTTATGATGCGAGAAACAATGATTGTAGGTACATTATACGACGCGGTTTGTATGATGGCTCCAATGGACATCACGATGACTCCAAACATGAGCATCTTCTTCCGCCCAAACTTCTCGCCAATAACGAACGAACCCATGGCACCGAAAAAACTGTGAAGACGACTTGTCATATTCGAATGAAAGGCCCGAGACACTAAGCGACCTACCATCCAATATCATACAGAGACACAATTGTGCCTTGGAGGCTCGAGTTGGGGTAGCCCATCTGTTTCAAGAAATCATCCGTGACGATGATCCCGCCAAATACGCCTTGATCATATCCTAACACCTCTACTTGAACAGAAACGTGGGGAAGATGGGGATGGGTCGTACCAAAAAGCGTCATAGCCGTGATGCACGCGATATTGACCCAAGCGTTGAGTGTCATCCCCGTAAAGCCAAAATAAGGCTTCTTCTCTGACTTGACGTTCCACATGGTGAGCAATCTGATGGTGTATGGGCAAGACTCCGAGATCTGATGGCAAAATCGCATTTCTTCAATGGCGACCTTTTATACACCTAATATGTGGCGTCGGACCCTTTCAGATACAGTCGGTATTCGACATCACTTGGTATCGTACTGCGGCCAACCAGAGGTCAGCTGGGCACCGCACGAGGGAAGCAGAGCAGTATACAACGATCCGGAGACCCATTACCTGTTCACGAGACGCGTTTTTGATGTTCCATTTCAGTCTATTCCATTCCCTGCTTGATATCTGATTCCCGTCGCAAGTAGGATAGTCGCACAGAAAGTATCGCATTCCACCAGCATACAAGACCTGAGCATATACCTAAATGACGAGGATAAGAAAAAGCGCAATGAGGGCACATCAGTGAGTACGCACGAAAGATACTTTAGAGGATCGTAATAAATATAAACTGAGCAAAGAAGCGAATGATAAGAATGAGCCAAATGAGGACAACTGTGAAGGTCACCTTGGCATATATAGTCGTTGTTCCTCTACCTGCCGTTCCATTATTACGAACATCTGAGAACCTGAATGAGCATCACGTTTCCACCAAAAATATCCCATAATTGCCTGTCCAAGAAATCCACAAAGGATACCAACAATGCTGATTAGGTATGGCCTACATCCAAAAGTTAGTGACCAAAGTTTGTATGGTAAATGTTGGCCTGGCACGCACTGGAACTCGAACGTTCTGAACCCGGATTAATATCCATTCCCCCTGAGCTCCACGACCATCGCATCCCCTGCGTCCGAGATGTGGCAGACAGTCAGAAAGTGCACTTTCCCACACCGGCTATCTTCGGCTCTCGTCCACTATCCCATCCGCCAAGACGACGGAGTGAAATACGATGGATCTATTGTCAAGAGGCAGGCTGCGCACGCTGTGATGAGGAAACCTCGACACTATGTATCTGGTGAGCAAGGGCACGGCGTCGTCAAGGCGGTGCCATGGCCCCATCAAGGCCGAGACTCGCATTCAACACCAACGCAACAAGAATACGGACGATGAGCAAGGGCATAACGTTTGCCAGTGTCAGTGCTGTACCATAAGGCACATGTACGTTCTTGTGATGTCAGGGACTGTTTTCATTGCTAAGAGTAATCGTTCGAGTTCAGGCCACTTCAACCAGTCTCTCCTTTGATGATGACCTTTGCGCTTCCACGATGGTCGACGAGTATAGTATGACGCGACGAAACAACCGCGGTGTAGGAACATGCTGTGTATTGAATGTCGGTGCGACTCTTGAACAAGCAGGCGGCAGTTGGTATGCGTACGCCTTTTTTTCCCTGTGCAGTGCTAACGCTCCTTCTTTTAGCTAGGCATCCAGCGAGCCCAATGAACCCAAGATTCCAAACCTTGGCTTACACAAGAAATGCGCAGGTCCCAGTTCTGAGATCCATAAAGGCTTGCTTGTACTACTCGACCTTTCCTCGAAGCTTCCTCCCATCATCATCTGCGGCGCCCGGCAGTTCTCTTCTATCATCCTCAGTAATAGTTTGGCCGGCTATGAAAGTCTTGTCCAAGAGCGACCTCATCATCAACACTCTGTAGGTATCTTTTACCCAGCAACTCACCTAGCTGAGCCTTTCCACAGATCCAACCTGCGTACCGACCCTCAGCTGGAGCCAGTGAACTGCTATGTTCGTCATTATCCACAGCAGGCAATGGCTAATGTTGATTCCCCCCTGGGCCCCTACTTCCTGGTACGCCTTTGTTAATTTTGTCTAACGACATATGGCGAACTTTCTTTCTTCTAGACGTGAGTCGGACTCTGGCCTCTGAGCTTGATTAATGTTAACTTCATTTCAGTATCACCATTCCATTAGTAATGCGTACGTAGATTCAAAGATCTCTGCGCCATACCGTCCCAGACTAACACATCAAAGTGAGATTGCATGCTATAACTTCTAGCTGAATACGAGTCCTTGACCCGCAGAGTCTTCACATCAAGCAATTTGAATTGACCATATGTTTTTTTTCCTCCTTCATTGGAGTCTAAATCCCGAGATGCTCATCTTCATCATATCGTAGTTATGTGGATGCTAGTGGTCTTGTGCGATAACGTTCGACTCAGACTGTACCTCCTTGAAAGCGGCGAGAGAAGAAAGAATAACTTTAGACAGATGCAAAGCTGCCAGGCCTTTAACCTATTCTGTCCATAAATCTTTTGGTGATTTCCAGTTTCTTTGCCTTCGTGCTAGGAGCGTAGTTCATTCCGCTACATCTCTATTTCATGTCAGTTTTCCATAGTGCACGCGGCACGCGTTGTTCATTTGTTATGTCTGATTCTCAACGCTTTGCATTTTTCAGATGTCTATAGAATGCATGTACAGAGACTGGCAAAGCAGCCTACGCCATCGTGACCAACCGCAGTACGGAGCCTAGGAAATTCTGCTGTCTTATGTCAGTCCTGCTTTCTCTTTTTCGTCGATCTGTCCTAGTCGTGGTTGGCCGCCGTTAAAAAATGATTCTCTGAAGAGCACGCCTTCCCATGATTAATATCTTCAGAAGCTTCCGTATCTTTCCAGTTCGACCTTTTTTCGCTCTCTTATTTCTTTCCATAAACATCATATTGGCATTTGCATATTATTGGATATTTAAATGATCCTTCCGCGGTAAAAGAACGCGTCTCTACACCCTCGCAGCTGCTCCGGAAATTTTTTTCAGTACGTTGATTTTCACATTTTACCTACTTCGCTTACCGGTGTATGTCAGTCCGATCTTTTGACTTCTTCTTTCGCGGGCTCTGCCTCTGCAGCCCGGAACCAACGCCGAGAAACTGGATTTAAGTCAGCTTGGCGCATCTTGAAGTAAGAAACGCCTTACAGGCTTGACCGTCTGCGAGCGCAGTCAGTAAAACAGAGAGCAAACATAGTCAAGGTAAATCACCAGTATCAACGGATAATGCTTGCGTGGACGCAGATGCGCCGAGCACTACTAATAAGAAGGCGAATACAAACTTCATTCTGATAGTGAGAAGGGAGAGATGCTGTTCTAAAGTGCAAGTCAGTGGTTTATATACGTTGAACGTTTCCGGAATTGATGATTTATTCTCATGGCACGAAAATAAATCCTCCCCCGAGGAAGCGCCCCTTACTCTTCAACGAACCCCAAATCTCCACCTTTAATTCGGCAATCCGGTGCATCTGTATCCGGACCCAGCCTATCTAAACACGAAGTGATCTCGTGTTTTCCGAGTTCCCCTCACTAGCTGTTCCAGTGCAACGCCCAGGGATTTTGTTTCTTGCGTCTATTGAATACATGTAGCATTTGACACGATCTGGAGCTTCGAAACTGCCCGTAGGAGCGGACGGTTCACGGCTGACGCCGTTTCTGATACAGGTGAACATTCCATCGTACCAATAGTATCGCTTAGATGAGTTGGTAAGATCTCCACATGAATTATACGATCGTTCGAGCTGAACAAACTTTTTCCTTGTGATTCTTTGGAGCGTATGCACGCCCCGCATTCTTCCATTATAGCCATTTCATAAAGCGACTAACCGTTACCCTACTTACACCCAACATGCTTCGTCCCATGACGCGCTCTGTGTTCCTGACGCTAGGCATCACTTTGCTTTCAATCGGCACAGCGCTCAACATACTCAGCACGCTATATGCGCGTCACGAAACCCCAGAATACTCATCTATCATAGGTGAGATATCGTCAAGTTCCTGTGTAATATCCTCAGATCTGATTTTGTCGAAGATTTACATACATACTGGGGAGAAATCAGCGAGCTGCCGGAACGAATCAACGACGCCGTGTTGAGATTCCAGTTCGGGAATTACAGTATCACGTCGGACGACGAATGGGCGTCTCTGACTCCTCCGCATGGAGGTCAGATCCTGCTGGACGGCAGCAAGTATGATGTCTCGTTGTACCTGCAGCTGAGGTGCTTGAATACAGTCCGTGTTGCCTTTGTGACACTTCGAGACATTTTCAACGGCGAGTCACTGGCACGCGACATTAATTCCATCGACTCCAAAGAGACGGAGTATTGCCTGGACGTTCTAAGGCAGACAGTACAATGTACCGCAGACATTACGCTGGAGCCTGGCCAGGTGCTCGTTTTGTCGGATGGTTCAACTGATATGGGAGTATCCGGAAATCATGTTGATCACGTTTGCAGGGATTGGGTCCAAGTGAGGGAGTTCGTTGAAAATAACCAGGAATCATGGGATCGTTAGAGGATGTGTAGGTGGTCAACCGTCGACCGTCGTCGTTGTAGTGCGTCTTCTAAGCTGAGGTCAACTATCTCCTATCCGTAATTGGCAGCAGGTATCATACAGAATCAGAAATTTTCCAGGGCCACATTCTCCTTCGAGGCTCCAGTTACGCATTCAAGAATTGTGCTTAACAGGGCGCATTTCCAATAGTTCATCGGGAGTATACTTCTTCATGTCAATGCCATCTTCTTTGATTGGTTCCGAGTGCAAGAGGGAGCTTTAGCTAAGAAGAGTTTAGCGTCGGTGACCTGTTATAAATTCTAGAGTGGTTATCGATCACGATGTCTACTAAAACGATGGCCTAGACTTTTGGATATGGTGCGGGACCAATGAACCCGCGGTTGCCCCGCGGAAGAAACGAAGCCAAGGGAACAATTTCTGCTGGTTCCTAGTTCGATGTAGCATCAGTTTTGTTGAGAAGGCCCATGTTCGCCATGTTGCCGCCTGCGTTTTGGTATGAACATCGGTTAATAGTGTAATCCGGTATGAGATTGGATATATATTATAGCTTCCAAAGCCATTGAATAAGAACGTGAAAAATACTGACGCTATAACCCTTTCTCCATATCAACCAGAAACAGTATATTCACATTAGATCAGGGTCGGTTAGCCTTGAGCAGAGTCACTTCAGGGTCTACTAGGACGACTTCCACAGTTAGCTCTCACCTGTTAGTAAACAACGGTCTCAGTCTTCACCAGAATGATTGTAAAAGACTGAGGCACAACAGGAGACAAAAAAAATGAAATATGGTAGCGATCGTGAAACACTTGACTATAAATAGAGGGAATCCAAAAGGTCCGATGATGGGCATTGGCTGAACCTCTCAACATCACCATGTTTTTGAAAGTTCCACAATGCAATGCGAATCATGGTGGTAGAAGGAAGCAAAGGAGGATAGCACTTTCCATTTGTCACACTACCGCACGTAATGCGTAACACTTTATGAGCACGTGGTCGTGATTATACGGCACTTGCTAGCGTTGCTCAGTAAGGCAACATAACCGAAACTGCCCTCTCATGTTTATTTGCTGACTTATCGATACCCTTATCGCCAGTCAGCATGAGAGAGGTTACCTTATTGCACCAAGGTCGAGAGTCAAGTCCGGATAATGGACCAGTCGTCCAAAACAGTTTGGAGTTGAGCGACGCTCAGTTCAAGTTTCAATGCCTCATGGCTCCGTTTAGCTTACTCTGAAGTCTTTCTCTCCGTCGATGCATTACATTATCCGTTGATATTCCTGAAAATATATATTAGAATCTTCGGTCGTATTTATGGAATTGAGTTTTCGCCTCTTGGGCCCTAAGTTCTGACATATGTGTCCGCTTCTCGCTACAGCTAAGTGCTTACAGCTTGTCATTGCATGTGACCCTCCGTCCAATGCCAGGTCCACCGCCGCCATATCTAAAACCACCATTTGATGTAGATTGTTGACGAAGCATTGCTCTCTGCGAGGAGCAGGTGTAGGCTGAACAAAATCACCGCAAACAATTACCTTTCACGAGATATTGTCCTTATTGCCATTCGAGAACATACATAATTGATACTGTACATCGATCGATCGAATGGTCCCCCCCTATTTAATGCACACACAGGTCTTCTCCTGGATTGAGCCGCAGAGCAAGCGTCGACAATTCTATCATCGTTAGAATAATGTATCAGAAATTCCCACTTGGGCCTTCGATCGGTGCTGGATTTCAGCCTAGTGGCCCTGGTATCAGTGTGATTCCACTTTGTCATCAGTGAAGAATAAGCCCTGTGTCTTCTCTAAGATTTTTTTCAGCTTAAAGTGACCTGCTGGTAGATATATATATGCATACTAAAGCATACTCTGATCAGGCGACAGCATAGCAGTCCATGGAAATGTCTCCTGAGTCAACAGTATGATTCATATTCTATGCATGATTTTATGCCAGGACGATACGCAGCAACCAATCTAAGACACTGATTTATGATGAACCCGACTCGGGGCCGCCCAGGATCTGCGGTCCGTGGTATACTGCAAAGAACGTAACAGATCTTCCGAGTCGGCAAGCGTGATTCACAGCTCCTTTTAGAATATGATTTGCGTCCCCTTCGGCAACGACACACCGCAAGCGATGATCTTCGTTGTGAAAAGAAAATAGTGGGAGCAAATAAATATTGTTAAGTTACTAGTACAGTCGAATGTGGTGCACTAGAGAGGAATTCCTTCAATGACCCGGTGAACAACAGCATCAACTACCAATCCAGCAAGTATCAGATTCCCAATCGTCGGCGTGTGCAAGAAAAACTTCATACACTGCCTCGGCTTGTCAACATCCGTCACGACGAGCTCCTTCAGAAGAATGGATTTAGAAAGCGCCACGGCAACATAATACGCAATCCCCTGCTCGTTGAGGACACCAGCCAATGACATCAACACTGCAAAGCCGACAGTGGTGGCGGAGCAGATGTAAATCGTGTATTTGCCGCACAATATGGCGAGCGACTTGATGCCAATCTTGACATCATCCACCTTGTCCTGGTGCTGATACACCGTCTCGTATGTGATCGTCCACATCGTCGCACCGAGGTATGCAGCAGTGAGGGCGTGGTAGGAAATTTTGGCGTCAGGCGCCAGGTCTGCCCAGCCCATGTAGATACCGATGTTGAACATCAAGCCCTGAAGGAACGTCAGATCGCTGATTTCTGCATGAATCACAAAGGTACTTACCAAAGGAATGGGCGCAAAGTACATCCAGCGCTTGTATGTGGGGTACAGCACGTACAACGGCCACACGTACATGGAAATACGTAGACTGAATAGACGAGTATGGTAAGCATAGAAAACCTGTATCAGAGAGGAAACACGTACGCTCCGGGACTTAGAACCTTGAAAGCCAAAAAGACACCAATCACGACTTGGAGAGCGAAGAACAACCAGGCACGCTCAATGCTGATAGCACCTCTAGGGAGTGCCCGATTCTTCGTGCGCTCCACGTTCGCGTCAATATCATAGTCGAGGATGTCGTCAATGGTCATGATCTGAGATCAAGGATGAGATAGCGAAGACGGCTTCGAACATCTAGACTCACCAAGCATTTGATCCCGATGCAAAGGAAAAAGTAGACGACGGCCCGGATAAGGCATTCCAGTCCCGTCAGCTGAGGGTAAGCGTGGTACACCATCGCTAAAGACCACGCTATCATTCCCGGTTAGCGAACGGAAACGGAAGTCCACAGACATCCACACTCACCCACTGGAAGAAACACCGTTGCACATCCCATCCCATTTTGGAGACGGCAGAGCTCCCAGCAAGCACCGATCTCAGTCCGAGTCGGTGGTGCGATGAGGGTTTTGACGTTCGAAGAGATCGAGGAGAAACCCAAAATGATCGTCTCCCTCAGACCCTTCTTGGAAACCAAGGAGGCGAAAGACTGCGAACAGATAGCAGTAGAGAGAGCCATTGGAGGAAGAGATAGTAGTAATGGTGGTAGAAGACTGTACGATGCGGAGAACCTGATCTCCTCCCATTTTCACGCCCGTACCTATATACCAGTCGGACGCTGGTGCATCCTCTCGTACGACCGTCGTAAACGAAACACTGGCAGCAGCGCAGGAACAAGGGGCAACGAATGAAATTTGATCGAGGACCGTCTGCATCTCAGATTGATGGTCGACGCCAGTGATCGACCGCGTAGCATTGGTCGATCTTACTGATGTAGTCTCCATGCGGTTGCATCCGCGTCCGACTCGCACGTTAGCGGTGATGCCCAAATGAGGAAATCCTTGCCCGCTATACGTATGACCATGATCGCTCCTCGAGGTGCTCCAAAGAGAGAATGCTATTGCAGCGTTCAATATCTAATCCTGGGGAAGACCAACGTAAATGCAAAATCCCTGAAAAACTATGTCAAGATTGGCATGCATACCGGCAACCATGGTACTTGTTATAAACGCACCGTAAAACATTTCATAGCCGGATGTCCTCATGTCCATACACTGGACATGTCTAGCACTAAAGACGTCTTTTCTCTGCGGATGAGATGCACAGGCCAAATCGTTATGGATCAGGGTTGTATGCATACACTTACAACCGTTCCATTTCTCCTCTACGACGTTTTGTTTTAAAGAATCTTGCTTCAGCGCTTCCCGTACCGAAATACGTTCCAAAGAGAAGCAGAGGCTCTGAAGCTAGTCGCAGTCGGAGCTTGAAAGTTCAAACATTCTCTCGATTCTCGAGCGGGAATATAATTTGAAGGATTTATGCTCAACTGCAAGAACTATACCGGGCAAAGTCAATCGGCGCGTCAATGTCGGTAGCCAAAGGTCCTGTTTGTCTCTGTTACTTTTCAGCACTGATGCTGCACAGCCACCACAATGCTGTCTCTCCTCCAACTTTACTCGATGGAAGATTCGTCGGCTTTCACTTGAAATGATATGATGGTCTATCTCTCTGCTTCAGTCTATTGCTTTTTGTCTCGTGCCAGCTAACAAGTGCTTATTGCTTGCTTATCTATGATCCTTTGTATACACCGCAGCACCCCTCGACTTGTGTCACCAGTTTAACCGTACACTGACACCTTCTTAGTTTGCTCTCATCTTCTCTGAAGAGCTTCAAGGTCGCCTAGCATGGGTCTTACACTGCCACCCGACTCGGGGCCGTCGACTAATTGCGGCCCGAAATCGACGCGTATCCGAGTCGGTATCTGACATATCGGGTTCAGATCTTTCAATGTCCTTTGACGCTCGAGGAAAACCTTCGAAAGAATCTGTGAGATCTTTCGATGTATGTGTATCACTTTACTGCTCTCTTTCGTTTGCTCTCTCCTCCCTGTCGTCGATCCAACGCACACTTTCACGATCGCCAGAAATGCTGAATGGAGAACCATCTCCAATCTCGAAAAATATCAAATGGATATACATCCCTACGGCTCATTTGCTACAATGCTAATTTTAGAATTTCATTTTGGGAGAACTGACGCTGGAGTCGCAGTCCATGCTGAAAGCGTCGATTCGGAGGTTGACCACGAGCCCCCTGCCGTTGCTGTACAGCTGCTTCAATACGAATCTGCCCATTTCATGCCGTAATTCTACTACATTTACACTTTCCTTGGTAATCGGATAGTCGCGGCCTGTGATGCCCTAGTTCGACGCACAGCCTTGTTCTAAAACTACCATCCCAGGTGACCATTGTAATGTCGACGCAAGATTCTGAAGTCAGTCTGTCTGCCGGTGCTGTCACCGACACGTCGCCTCTATTGCCAAGATATGAGGTGGCCGATGCTAGCAACGACAACCGAAGACGGAACCTTTGCAAGTGAGTGTCTCCTTCAATCCCTCTTGTACGTGATTAACAGCGTTGGTCTAAGGCTGTTTCTTGTAGCTGCTGTGTACTTTCTGCACGTCCGTACTTTTACTCTTCTTCATACTTATCTGCTGAATTTCCTTCGATAGCGAGGGATGTACGATGAGTTCGTCTCAGTTTACATCATATTACGAAGGGATGGAGTGCATGAATACTGGTACTTCTGGAAATGTAAGTGCCTTCAACTCCATGTGATTTGTCACACATGGAAACTTGCCCATAGTCGTGGAAAGGCCAGTATTGAGTCTACTCGCCATTGGATGGTGGAGCCACATCGCAGACGTGTGGGGGAGGAGACCGGTAATGCTTATTTCTATGACCGGAACGACGTTATCGTGCGTTTTTTTAAAAATTAGCGTACCGTATTATCATTGATCAATAATACAGCTACCTTGTCTTCGTCCTACTCCAACAAGTAGGACTCCTGCAGAGGGAGGATGGCGCTTGTGTAGGAATCGTTCAAGCTCTGGACTGTCTATTTGGGGGTAGCATCGCCTTCAATGGCTTACTTCACACGTACGCCTAGACTCTACAATTCAACGACTGCTGATTGTTTCTTTAATCGTAGTTGTATCGGCGACTGCACCTCGCCCGGTTCAAGGCAAGTCTTTTAATACGAATCCCCTTTTATTTTTGACAATTGTTACCATCAGGTTCAAGTTATTCAGTGCTCTCAAGGGCCTGAGCATCTTTTTTTATGTCGGAGGCACAGAGGTACGTACTAGTCCCAAATGTCCTTTCGAGTTCAAGATATATCTGAGCATGGGGCCCAATTTAACAGCTTGTCATGCTCCTGCTGGATATTGCAAGCCAGAAATATCTTGACCTGTCGATGGTCATATCCAGCTTTGTCGCCGTGCTAAACATCGTTCTGATCATTTGGCTCCTGCCCGAAACACTGCGGAACCCAGACTACAACTTACCTGTCTTCAAGGCTGTGATTTCTCCCGTGATGGTATCCTTACAGCGACCATGGTTGGCTCTAGCCCTCTTCGTGTATGCTCTGACCCCGGTAAGACACTCTATATATTTCCATGGCTCGAAATATTCAACCAAGCAATCCAGAGCTTCGAAATCGTCAAAATATGGTTCGGGATAATATGTTCAGAAGGTCCTTTCTTCGTACGTTTACGGGTTCTTCTCGCCTATCCGTACTAAGACTCGTTTGCTTCATAACAGGTCCAGTGGTACTTGATATTCCCACTCCTTGCCTCGGCCTTTGCACTGCTCCTTCTTTATCCCGGTAAGTGCTCATCATTCACCCCGGCGCCGCCTAGTTCACGAATAAAAATTTCCGCCAGCCATTGCAATCCTATATCAACGAAAAGCGCGACCTCTTCGATCCGTTCTCAAGTTCACCAGGCACCTAGCTTACACCTGTCTCTCCATCGACGTCTTCTCCACTGTCACAGTCCTTTGTATCGCAGCTTCAAATAGAATCGCCCACCTCGTTTTCGCCGCTCTCTCGCCTTTCACAGTTGCTATCGCTCCCGCTATCTATTCATTTGTGCCTGCTCACAGTGCAGTTCTCTTCGGCTCTTTCTCCGTCATCGAGGCGCTGGGCGGCATGTTCTCGGTATGTGGCGTCTCGTTCGATTTTCCGTCGTCTGACAGGTTTCCAAGAATATGTTCATCCAAAGATTTTGGAGCTGGGGTAACACCGACATCGCTCAATATAGACTTCTCTATGGCGCCTTGGCGATCTGCCTTATTTTGACAGGCCTGCTGCTTTTTGTTGATTCTACAGGTGGTAGCGTCGATGAAGAAGACAGCTCTACAGTACTGTCTACCCATGATGACGAAGAAAGCCTGACTGTCCATAGTTGAGTCCATAATGTAGATGTAAATGTAAATGTATCCATCTATGTGATTTTGATATCTGCTATTCGAACATGCACTGTTAGCTAATGAATTGAGGCATTGCGTACGTACAAGGATAAATCATGGCGCGTGGAGGGTATCAAAAAATGAAGTGCTTGACACGAGGGTATGTATGTTCAATGTGACTGTCTGGATGTATCAACGTCCATCAGGACTTGAGAAGCACGTTGACGTGCGGCACTGAAGTTGGTTTCAGAGCGCAAAATGAAAGTGGTATCCAAGAAAGAGAAGATGCCCTTGGGAACAAATGATCCACTCTGGAAATCCGACGGTCCCGGTTTTCCCGCTATAGCACCACTTCCCAAAATACCTCGCGGACCTTGTACGCAGCTGGACTCTGTATCCGACTCTCCACCCCAAGAGCACTGAGATCACACACGGGCTTGTCGAACTTGAGCCCTGCTGCGATGAACGTTGACCGCCGTATCAGATGCGTAGAAGGCGAGTACGATGACGACGTCACTCCGGAGCGAGGCGTATGACGCCAAAACGTCGTCGGCCGATCTACAATCAAAACATCGGGCTGAGCAGTCATGATGGAGCTGAAACGGCGGAGACTCACGTAACGGTGGTGGCGGCTTCAACAGCTCGTTCTTGTTATGCCCATACCCAAAAGACCACGTTCTTGTGGCCGACGTCGGTGTATTCCATGTAGTCATGCTCCTCTTGGTGCGATGTCTCGTGAACTGCGGCGTTGTCGAGCCGGTTGATGAAGGTGAATTTGCGGGGGAGTCGTTCTCCAGCTGGAAAGTGGTCTTGAATGGAGGTGCGCTTCGAGACCGTGTGGGCCGATGTCGAGTGTTAGGGTACCGGGTGGTTCGTGATGGCAAAGGTTCCGGCGATGGCGCTCTGGTCCTGTGCTGCATCGCAGAGTCATCTGGAGTAGGTACACTTGACGACGGGGAACAAGGTACACTTGATGACGAGGAATACGAAGACATTGAGGTTGTATCCAGCGATACCCTCGTAGATGTCGACGTGGACGCCGATGCGGAAGACGACTGCGAGGCTTCCCTATCGTGTGCTGGGGAATCTGACCGCGGCCCTGAAAGTATCATCACTGATGACGTTGACGCCTCTTCCTCTTCCCTCTCCTCCGCAATACTAGTACTTGACAATCTCCTGCTCCTCATTACATTGCTTGAATACACGTCTAGTGACCACGATTGCTGCTCATTTCGTGTCGGTGGCGAAAGGGAGTTCTTCGAACGCCGTGGAATTCCCGTCCCATTCCAAGAGAACGGTCTTCTGCTCTGAGGTATTAGAGGCACTGGGGGAAGGGAAGAAAGGACCGTGAGGTCTGCCATCGTCGCTGTCGTCAAAGGGGACACGGTAAGAGTATAAATACAAAAGCAATAAGCAAGCCCGTGTGAAGATCCGTGGCCCTTGCCAAGCATGGCCAATTAATTATGTAAAGTGCTGTTTCCTCTGAGACGACCGCTTTGAAGCCGTTACGAAAATATTTCTTCCAGGCTTCCTTTTTGTCATTATACTCTCCGTTAACGTGGCCATGGAGGTTGCAACTTTGAAGTTCTTCGAACGTTCTCTCATACTGACCATTAATCCGCTTACTGCGGTACGGGGAAACCAGGCTGCGTGCCATTCACTGCAAATCGAGTTTGAAGCACTCTTCAAGTTTTCACACTCACTTGCACCGGCCTGGGTTGATAAGATCTTACACTAAGGTGACCCTGCGATGTGTCTGGTCAAGGATAACCAATGTTAGTTGGATCTTCAGAGCTAGAGTCACGAATGGCAAGCGAATTGTCAACGTTAGTACCGACATTCTCTTAATTCTTCCTGGGTCGCCTAGACGAAGGTTTCTCCCGACATTTAAAAGTTCGCCGTAAAGTTACGACCTGCACTCAAATCGCGGTCCCCTTGCCTGTCGAACGTCGCCACGTCTAAATAGACGTCTATAGTAGCCGAGCTCCGCGACTGAGAGCGAGAAAACTCGGTGAGAAATGCTAGACCAAAATAAACACGGGCACTTCCGAGATTATCCCCAGTGTCAGTAAGGTTAGGTTCACCCATGCAGAATCTCTTTTCACGCATGCCATATAGCCACAGAGTCCTCAGAGGGTCCCGGAGCCGCTTAGAGGAGAGAGCCCAAGAATCACAAGCATAGTCAGCCGGCAGGAGATTCTGTACCAATGCACCCAGTATCTATTGTCAGAAATTGTTGATGTCCTTCTCGATGAAACGGCCATACATGGCCCTGCAGCGCACACAAACAGTTCTACTGCTTATCCAAGACACTGACTAGTGTAATCCATATCCCATTCTTGCTCAGAGGCGTTGACAGTTGAAAGATGGTACATGTCCATGAAATAGGCAAGATAATTAAAGTCGCCACAGACGAGGCAAGCAGGGTTACTAGCCTCCCGACGAGCCCGTCAAGGAACTTGGGCGATGTCTCCTTGATTTCTCAGTCAGCCTGAAAATATGAATGATGCTGAGCTGGATAACTGCCGCAGTTGGAGGAACCGACATGCCACGCAGAATAATGACCCACCGCATGAGAGTAAGAAACTAGGAATGCCAAATGGTTGCCCATAATGATCATAAGAATAGTATGGCTACACATTTCATATCAGATGGATAGCAGGGTGAAAGGGGAAAATGTCCAGGGAGCCGACACTCAGCGGTATCAGGCATCTTGGCTATGAACGCCATGATGGATTGTTCTACCTCGAAAATTCAGTCCTAGCCTCGCGAGGCTCTCCCTCCCTTTGCCTGAACAACGGTAACACACATCGTGTCCCATAGGTACCTGCTCTTCGACATGACTCGCGCTCCCCCGCGGCACTCGATGAAAGGCGACATCTGGACGATGTTCGACAAGTCCATATATTCCGTCGAAAAGAAGAGCTTCAAGAAGCCAATATCAACATCTTGTCCCTCCCTTAGTGAGTAGATGTGCGGAACCGTCCCACTCGCGCCGTACCCGATGGTCAACGATCCTCCAGGAGGGAGAGAAACATCAACGGCGCCGTCTTTTGCACTTCCCGGTTGATAGTACGAATCTGAAAAGGCAGGTGATCTGGTCAGTCGAACGGGAAGTGAGGATCAGCAAGACAGCGCACCGATGCTCAAATCACTGACATCAAAATAGAACATCGAAACATAAAGAGGTACCGACATCATATTGGTTATCTTGAATCCATACATCGCGTCCTCATCGACATCGACGGAAATCACACCTTCAATGTTCAGATTATCGCCATCGGGTTCCAAAATCTCTAGTAAATCATCCGTGAACTTCCCGGTCTCTTTAAGCTTCATACACTCGAGCGTGACGTTGCTGGCGAGGGGGCTCCCTTGGCTAGAACGGTGAAGGTTCCAGTAAAAATGAGCGGAACATTGAAGAATGCGGTGGATAGTGTCTGAATCATCGATTTTGACTTTGAATGGCATACGTGTTAGCCCATGTTGTCGACAGCGCTCATCCATGATCTCGAAATGGACAACATCACCATCCGCGCCAATGACCAGATCCGGCTTATCGCTGCGCTTCTCCACCAAACGGAATCGCCTCTTTGCTGCTTCGATGCTTTGCATCTCGTCGGCTATCTGCTTAAAGACACCGAGTAATTTTATATCAGGCTCGATGAAAAGGCAAATATCCTGTCCCTCGCCGACTCCAGTCTGCAAGGCATATCCAATACTAGCAAGGGAGAATGGTGTTTCATCGCCGCGCGGAGCGAAATCGCACGTGGTGGTAAAAGCGGTGGTGGTTGAAGCAACGACAGTTCCAAGCACAGATACCACGTTTCTATCAGCGAAGACAACGAACTCGGCCTTGCTTGTGATCCCATGGGCCTCGCCAGCTTCCAAAGTGTACCGTCCCGGCATGCCAGAGGCACGGATGGGGTATAATTCACATTGTGGGTTGGTTACTTTGGAATTGAAAAGATATCGGTTTTGGTGGACTCCTTTGCACTGTGGATCTTGCCTATAACAGATAGATCAGTTTTAGTAGACTAGGACACGAAAGTGGGCCTACGCGGGAAGATCAGGCAGATTGGTTATTACATCCTTGTATGTAAGCTTGTCGACGCCGTTGTCCTGTAACAAGATCAACAACGCTGAAGTAAAGGCGCCACGTCCGAGTTTCTCCATGGCTGCCTGTCCCGCTTTACATGCTGAAAGGAGCATATGTGATGACAGACCGCTCTTCTCGAATCCTTTTGTGATAACACTCGCCCGAGCATCGGGTTCAATGTCATGCAAGAGGTCTTGATCAACTGTATAAGTCTTAGAGAGATCGGTCCCGCGAACGGCAAAAGTAGGATCATTGCCTTCCATTCGCGTGCCCGAGCCAGAGTGACAACAATCAAAAATGACGGTCTGTCGATGCACTTGATCAGATACCATGCATGATAGAAACAGGTGGAAGCTTACGATGTTGTCAGATTTTTTCGCAGCGAGGTCTGCGAGAAGATGAGAGAGCCTTACATCTAATACTCCTTGACCTCGCCTGGAGCCGCTCGACCCCCTGGGGTCAAAGTCGTGTGGAACTAGCATTTGTATCTTCCCGTTGGCGGTGGGCCATCCGGACGGGGCGTTCGCTTCGGCTCCATGCCCTGCGTAGTAGATAAGAATTGCGTCCTCCTTCTTGATCGCCGAATTGTCCCCGAGCCTTTTAATCTCCGTCTCGATAGTAAATCTCGTGGCTTCCTCATTGCGAAGATTCTTAATTTGGTCCTTTGGAACGCTGAGAGTCTCTTGTAAAAATGTATTGACGGCGTCAGCATCGGCAACTGCACCCTTCAGATGTTGGACCTCGTTCGAAAGGTACTTATCGATGCCTATAACCAGCGCAAATAGGGGGGGGACAGCGCTGACCATCGCTTAATTAGTGTCATACCGTAGGAGGTGAAAATAAAACCAACAGTCCAAAGGTAATAGGCTGAGGAGGACTGTGAAGGACAGAGTCATTACGGATTATTCAGATGGACAGAATCTACATACGACGAAGAAGATTCAGGCTTTTGCTCTGGAGGACAACTGAAAGGTTCGAGCATTAGTGAGTTGATGGTCTTTTGCTTAATGAACTCTTACGTTGGAGTAAGGGAACGGTGAAGCAGGAAGCGGAGATTCGATAGGAATTGTCGGAAGAATTGGGATACTCTTGACCACTGCAGGAAGTCCAACATAATGCCGACTCTGAGCCAGTCAAAAAACAGGTGGATGAAAGACAAGAGGGATGCGATCAGTGGGACCGTGGGTGTGACTTGGATGGCAGGGAAAAGAAGCGCAACACTTTATACATGCCCAACGCGACGGCTCCATTTTGATGAATAACATCATGACGATTGCAGCGACGTATCGATAACTTGAGGGGGTCACGTGTATACACAAACACATCAACAACGACCGTGAGAAATAAAGATAAGTGAGACAAGTGGTCGAAGCGTGCAGATCTTTGCAATCGTGGAGGAAGAGGTGAGGATTGGTAGTTTCGTGCATGCCCGCAAGCTGGCTTCGTGTAAAGTATCTAGCATATTTTGGCATCGAACATCGAATGTCAATGAATTGCCAGGTAACAATATCATGCTAGATACCAAGGAGCTGCTGATGTTTCAGTTCTAGGTGGGCCCTTAAGTTCATCGAGAAAGTCCGGACATTGGATGTTCCTCCGATGCGACGCAGTGTGTTTCTCTCTCCTGGTTCGGATGGCCTCCAGTGTATCACGCGGTGTCGCAGGTTGCTCAGGGGGGGGGGCAATTATTTCGGTGAATGAATCCAAAGTAGAAGGGGTTGCGACACTTCATTCATATCATTCCGTCGCAAGGCTAACGAGCTATGACGAAGGAGGATCTTGATAAGCTTTCAACTCCCTCAGCTGTGATTTTTTCTCAATGTGGAACTCTGTTCTCCTACTGTTGTTTCTGCCGAGGTCGTGAGGGAGCACTTGCGACGGGACTTTCCCAGAGCGTAGGGCTGGTTCGATCATGTAGCAATCAATTGCAATATAATTAAGGATCTGTTGGGGAGGTCAAACGTCCGGTCAGGCCAGAAGCAGCATCATAAGAAAGACCAGGAGCGGTAGCAGTGCACGCCTCTGCCGCCAATGGCAGGTAGTACAACTGCATGCGATATGGTGTTGGTGGTGTTGGTACCGGCACAAGATATGAGTAATACCGTTGTGATCGCACAGTTGCGTCTCACGGAGTAGACACTTGATGGGATGCGTTATAAAAAATGTCTGGTAAGCATGAATATTATGTGTAATGCATATAGCAAAAACCAGAAGCGACGCAGTCAAAAATGTATGTGATACGACAGCACAAGGGAAACAAACGGGTAGCACAAGCAAGAAGGTGTAGGGAAAAAGAAACAGGCGCACGAAGGAAACAAAGGTATCTTGCCTTCCCCACCATTAACCACAAAACCGTAGCCAAAACCATCAAAACCATGAAACGCAGGCGAAGGGCCACCAACAACAACAAAGCTCATCATTTGAAGGACAAATAGTGTGCCTGTAACGGTACCAAAGCCTATGAAAACCACCGAAACGCAAGCAGCGTGCAACCACATAATAGGAAGCACGCCATTTCAACCAAAATGAGCATGAGTGTCGTGGAGCTCGAGCTCATGAAAGCCAATGAGTCGCAAGTAGTGGAGTGGCGGTGAGGGTATCGGTATGGTATGAATGGGAGCACTGTTTGTTCTCAGGATGTCAAAAACTTCAGGTCCAAACAGCCGACGGCCGGAAATAACATACTAAATCAAGGGAGGATATACGCACGGTCAGTAACAGTTATAACGGTCACTTACAGGCACCTGCCGAAATACTTTATCCACCCTTCATTTCTTCGATACGCCCATGGGTAGCTATCGAAAAGCAAGACAGGAACTCGTTCCCGCCATAGAAGCCAATCTAACGGACTCTTGAGCCGCGTCTCATTTCTGACCTATGTGGCTTGGATTCAATGGATCGTTTCATGAAATGGAATTCCAGGCTTGAGTCTCGTCCGGGCGCATGCGCCTAAGTTCGTGCCCGCATTATGATGACCTGTGTCTAGCACTATGCACGGATTCTTCGAGACCATTTCCACTGCAGAGACCGGAGAGCCAGCCATAAAGTTCACCTGGATTTTCTGCTTGGTACAATAGATTCGCTGAAGCACTTGTCATAAGGCAAAGGGCTAGGAATCTCAAGTTTCGCAGGAGTTCCAAATGTGTATAAATAATGACTAATGATTCTCTCTGCTTTTACCTTCTGGCTGTCTGGGTTTGAATATACCCCGATCACGGACAGATTGGAGTATGTCCTCTACGTGTTCGTTCGCATCACAGTGCTCAAGCCTCTGCCTTCCTATAGCGCAATCACTCAGAAGAATTTCCCCAATACAACAACCTGGCACATACCAATGATAGACCAGTTCCTCGTACTCGGAATCCTCAGCGTCTCGCACTCCACCTTCCATCCGCAGTGAAGGCTGAGGCTAGCCAGCCAAACGCGGTACATCGAGTACGCCGATGCAGCGCTCCCCTGGTCTCCCAAGCACAGGCTCTCCTCGAATGCATCCTCGTCGCTGACGGGAAATGGTGCTTGCAGCGAACGGTCATATTTCGCGTCGAAGCTCCAAGGGCAGCATGGAATGGAAAGGTATCCCGACGCGGAGTATAATGTCGACAGAACGGGAACCCACGGTGTGAGTTCGTCGGCATGGTTACCGATGATAAAGACGTCCGGTTTAAGGAAGGGATCCGGGCTGGAAGAGAAGGGATCGAAAACGTGAACGTGAAGATGTGATTGCGTCGCCACAGGGTAGTGCAACCATGACGTGCGTGCACGAAGGTCGATACCGCAGCCAGAGTAGCCTTCAGAAATGAGAATGTGTGTTAACAGCCCGTTGCCGCAACCGAAGTCGAGGAAACCTCCCGGTGGCCGAGGCCAAGGCTCACTCTCTTTCTCATTATCGCCGCCATTCTTGTATGTTTCTTTCCAAAGGAGCATGAGAAATGTGGCAATGCCGATGTCCTATCCTAACATCAGTAAGCTAAGGGGAAAACCATGGGCGTATACCACACGTGCCTCGAATACATGCTTCAACGGATCCGTAGCTTCTTGCCAAGTGTCCACCAAATGCTTGTGCCTTTCCCGCATGCTGAGATACAGATCCTGATACGCCTCCCGCTGTACTAGATTATCATGCTTGACCTTCTTTTTATAATTGGTCATCGCACCCCATCCATATCGATGCAAGGTGTCCAGTAGTGCGAGAGAAGTTCTATACAAGCGCGAACTTGGATCCAAAGGCGTATCCGGCAGCGGAAGAACCTCGATCCTCACCGTCGCTGGCTCAGCAGTCAGATAGCGGAAAGCCAAATGAGATACCGCCGGATGATAATAGGGTAGAGGCGACCCCAAAGGCGTCAACACTAATACAGATGAAGCCTTCTCCCCCTCTGAATAGAATGTGCAGTATTGCTCCAAAGCAGCATCGCGACCTGGTCGACGCGGTAACAGACGCCGACGGATGCAACGAGTCGGTTGGAAGCCGTCTAGTTGTGGAATCTCAGAAGGAAATTCGGTGTTCGTATCCAAGAGACGTTCTGATCGAAGGATAAGGGTTGAATTGTATTCCGGATGATCCACAAGCTGCGCGATGGCGATTTCGAACTAAGATAGACTAAGAATCACGGGAAGAAGCTCGACAAATATCAGATCGACGTACCAATTCCAAAGGAAAATCTGCGGGGCATGTTATGAGAGGTATCCATTGACTTCCACCATGATAAAGTGGTATATTCTCCGTTGGCGGAACGCAGGGCAGCGGTTCGAAGCGAGGGCGTGCCATTGACAATTAACGAATAATCGTAGTATTCCCCAACTGGAATACTCGATTCTCCAGAGCTACGGATGTTCCTCCCAAAGCTTCACTCATAGCGACCTGCAGACGCCAAAAACATGAAGGGAGAAAAAAAGTTAGACGGTGATTGTTCGTGCTTGTCAGTCCCCTTAGAGGTCCGGACGCCCACGTGACAGCACCTCTCTTCGCTAGCTTCCATTGACTCCCCTTAAGTTCGAGTTCCAAACAACCGTTCGCGTACTACGGAATTGCATAGTCTTGATGAAGAACGAAGAATCATACACGTTCCCATCAGAACGATGGATGCGCACAAAGTGTTGGAGACCTTTATCTGATCCTTGATCCTCCTAAATTTATACATATACCGCATACCATGCTGACCACTAGATTGCGAAGAAAAAATGTTTCATTGTTACGCAGCGAGGCACCACCTCAGCTGCAGAAATGGACTGGTCCCGCCTCGACAGTACAGTAAAATGACGGATCATTTTCGCACGGAGCGTACGGCCCCCCTGTTTATTCAGCTGTATGGGCGGGGCACCCCGACACGGAAGGCGCTCAGGGCAGCTGATTCGAACGCTGATACATCGCGAGAAATGATCGAATGGCCCATTTCCCATTCCAATTCCATTGATGGAGCGCACCGGCCTGTTTGATGGACTCCTAGATCCCTGGACTACGTGAGGAATACGAAACCGCCGTGAATTCTAACGATTCCTTGAAACTAAATAAAGTTTGTTTGCCAAGGACATTGCCGGAAAATCATTTACCCGTATCCCTTCGCTTTTCCCTTCAAGACACCATGTTGGTCTTGCCTTTGGGCGCCTAGGGCCAGGATGCCTATAATATCCATCAGATAATACTTCATCGTGACTTCTTGGCAACTATCTGCGACTGGCTGGACTCAATTTCAATGTGAGGCTCCCTCTGGATGCTTATTATTCTCCGATCGGACCACGCGGCTTGCGGCAGCCGACACTTTGCAGCGGGGATCGTCTCCAAATGCGACTTGATGCGCCGAAACAGTCCATTCCGTCACGGAAAAGCTGTATTGCCGTGTTTGAAGGCGTCTTTGCATATCATTATATGAGCATGGCGTATACTTATAAATATCCATGCTTGGCTGCAGCATCCTCACTGTTTTCTCCAAAACATTACCACCTCGACATTTACTCGACATTTCATCATGATTGTGGTTTCAAGCCATGGCGAGAAGGATGAGGAGAAGGCTAAACAGGAGTGTTCGAGCGGCTGCTGCGAGCTTAAACATATACAGGAACTCATACGCCACTATACGACGCCCGGAGTTGCCCCACCATCCGCTCGGATGATTCCCGACGTCAAAGTCGACCACAAGCCAGACTTCAGGTTATGGCATTGGTGGAAGTACGGCTGGTTTGTAGCGTCGAAGGGTGCGTCTATCTTCTTTTTACAAAGCCAATGTTTTCATTTTTGATTCCAGCGACACAAATGACCGGAGATGCGCTCATGCACACCATCTGGGGCCCCAGAAAAAAGTCATGGGGTATCCAAATGACTCTCATGTCAAGTCTCATGCGTAACGCTGGTCAACATACTGACCTCATGGATGTTGTATGTGAATTTTCTATGCTCTCTCATATAGCACACTTCTTATTGTTCATGAGCCCTCTATTCGTTTGTTTATGGGTATGGGCGGTATGGGTCCCGCCCCGCCAGACGCGCTCGTAACACCAGTCACCTTTCACGTCAAGAAGCGCCGTCTTCGTGGTATCTTCGAAGAATACGATCGCCAAGAAACAGGAAAACGCGAGCTGTCTGGCGAATGGGTCGTCGGAAAGCGCACTTGGAACCGACTCCAGACAGAGTGGAAGGCGGCTCAGATAGGTGAGAGAGGGTCCCACACTTTCGCTAAGAAGACAGAACGTGTGATGCTCTACATTCACGGTGGTGAGTGTTTGCCCTCCTTCATGCATTCCGGTGACCCTCTAACCCCTTTGAGGCGCATACTATGTTGGTAGTGCATCAGAAAAGCGCGTGATTTCTGTGCCTTTGGCACAGTACACCGATTCTCGCGTCTTCTGTAAGCCATTCTCTGCTCTGATTAACTATATTTACTCAGCGGCGTCTTCTTCAGCACTGGATTATCGACTTGCACCGGAGACGCATTTCCCTGGGCCCCTCCACGATGTTGTCATTGGGTACTTCCGTCTTATAGACGACTTGCACATCCCACCGGAGAACATTATCATCTGCGGAGACAGTGCCGGCGGGGGCCTATCATTAGCATTGCTCATGTACCTCAGAGATAATGACTATCCGATGCCAGCAGGGGCGATCCTGATGTCTCCATGGGTTGGTAAGTGACCCTCCAGACTTTTCTGCTATGTGTATGGTGTTTAAATTGTCTGCAGATCTTACCATGAGTGGAGAGTCTTGGGATTCAAACGCTCAATATGACGTTATCCCGGTATTCTCACCCAAGGACCACATGAACCCGATCGCCAATTACTTGGGAGACAATATTGACCGGTACTTGATGCATCCTTACGCCAGCCCGCTGTTCGGCGATTTCAAAGATCTACCGCCGCTTCTCATTCAGTCCGGAGACTCCGAAGTCTTGCGGGACGAGATCGCACTGCTCGCACACAAGGCGGAACTAGCAGGCGTGAATGTTCGCCACGAGCTCTATCAGGACGGTGTAAGTTTTGGTAACCTCTTACCGTCAAAACTGTTCTGAGACTTCATCCCATACCAGGTTCACGTTTTCCAAACATTTCCGTTCTTGGAGGTGTGGTCGCGCTCGTTCATGGCAATGCATGACTTTGTGCGCAATACGCTCCATCATCTCCAGCGCGAATGTCCCCGGGTTCTTGCTGACAAGGCTGAGAGATCTATGGAAAAGGAGATCGACACCCACGCGGCGCTCGTTATCAGCGCAGATGGGACCGAGACTTCGGTGGGAGTCGAGGGTGCCAAGGCGTCTTTACTAGACGAGGATGGTCATGAAATGGCAGATAGTCATTGTCTCAATTGCGGGCGTCGCCAAGATTCTACTTGGTCGTCGTCTTCGGAGACCGACGTGGAGTCTGAGGAGGAGGCTGATATCAAGATATCCGTTGTCCCACCATCTGCCGACCCTTCGCCTCCAATTACCCGGTCAAATACCGAAGATGACTCGGAAGTTATTCCTCTATCCAAGGGACTGAAGCGTGTTTCGTCTGCAACCTCTATTTCGTCCATCCTCACTGATTCCCCACCAACGTTGTCGAAATCTTTGCGGGAGCGGAGCAGGACCTTGCATCTCGCCAGTCCTATAGCCGATCGTCGGCGCCAATCGAGAAGCCGGAGCCGGAGCCCTTTCAGGAGACCTCTGACTCCGGAGGTGGCTCGACAGGTTGAGAGCTGGTCCTGGCACTTCTGGTCCGGTTAGATTATTTAATGTCAAAGGTATCCCTTTCATGATTCCATCTATTAACATATTCCAAGATAGATTATTCGCCATACTTTTATTAATGGTTAAAGAGTCCTGGAATTGTAACTTGATAAGTTTTAAGGGGTGATAGCATAGCACTCTACTCACCCCACTATTTACTAGCTTAATTAGGTAGCGGAATTTCTACCATCGTTGTATGATTGACGTCAATTTATTCGTTACATTTTTTTTTTCGCTGGGGATGGACATCGGTTCAGACATTACGGCCCACGCTGGTTGAAACGGAGCAGTTCACGACCTTGTCTTTTCAACTACGACCATTTCTCAACGCTACATTTATCCGATGATACTCACGTACTCGCTTTGTCTTCAAAGGCTGTAATGAGAATCTTGGTGAACTTTAAAAGAATTATGTTTGTCTATCAATACCTAGTCACTGGAAAGAACTGTTCGAAGACATAGCAACCCTCCTGGAGTGCCCAGTGAGAAGTCCGTCGCGAAGATCAAGGAAGTCAGAGGATTTACTGAAGTTGCGACAAACCTCGATCCGACGCGACCATCCACTATCATATGACACATTGGTTTCCCCTTAGCCATCTTGGTTTATCAAGATACAACGAGGACCACATTTTTATCGATTTCCATTATCCCTCTATCATCCTCAATTTGACCTCGGCTCATCGATGTATATAGATACCCATTCTCGAAAATTCTACTGTAGATACAAGTATATGGCCCATATGCCCACATCAAGCAAAAAGACCGTAGCCGTAGGTATGCCCAGATCACGCTGCCTCCTCGCTTCCTCCAAGTCGGGTATCCGGAACACAGGCACCTTCTTGAACATCTGCGCCTGCAGTCTTTCCCCATACAGTTTCATCTGGTCAGAAGTGTTCTTCTACGAGCACACATTGCCTCTCCAGCGTCAAGACGTACTACCTGCTAACGATGAGATTGTCCAGAGGAATCTGAATGGTCGGTTCTTTGCTTGCATGGGGATTTGGTCACATCGGCAGAAAATTGCATACATATCAGGTGTGTACACATTCCTCCACGTGATAACCCCATCCTCTCTCTCACACCCGTTGTCCGTCACCCTTGATTGCCTTTCTTTTGCCTAACCTTCTTTTCTTCCCCCCATTATTGATGACTGCTTATACCTCGCTGTATTACCAGAACCACAGGGCCTTCCAGGGAAATTCAAATATTTTATATTGCGTTCGGACGGTTGGTACCGGCAACATGGTCCCGAAGACCATGGCATGAGACTTGGTGTCGAATAGGGAAACGCCAATACAGTAACCACAAGACAAGATCGCCGGCCCCGCAGAAATGAAGAATTACACAGGCACTGTGAAAACAAATGGTACGTTGAGACCACATGGACTAGCAGAGCAGCATATATATTCGCGCCCCCGCACCGCAAAGATACGGGGTTTGCTTGTATGCGTGAGAGATCGAAACAATGGCTCCGATGAGAAATATCAATGCTCATAGGGCGATAGTGCATCTGTGCGGCCTCCCCTGTCCCTCGTAAGAATCGTGACAGCTGGTTTCAGTTAATATTTTCACGTCCCTTCTGCTCGAGGTGCAAGGTTTTGCGGCCGCACAAGAACGTAACCACTGTCCCGAGCTCGATGAACGAGAATGAAGAGCCCCATCATGCGGTGAGTATTTTCTAATCAGCCTGAATGACAAGGACTCTCAATACGGTCACCTGTGTTCGCCTGGAGTGCAATTTCTAGGTCGCAAACGACACGCGCATGAATAATTAATGAAGGTCTGTCCTCTACTCAGGTCCTCTTCGCTTGTTCGCGCAATGCTGAAAGTCTGGATCTTCTCAGACAAAGATCACAAGTGAAAAGTGCCACAGGTTGCAGCAAACACAAATTTCGGCGCCTTCAAATGGTGATGTGTTTTCGTCGAATCGAAGACGAGGACTGCTAGGTCTTCGCTGTTGGTTTAGTCTTGTTGCGATCCTAGATCATGAAAGGCGGTTGAAACCCGCAGCTGTGACTCATAACCTTTCAGCATATTCACTGACATATATGTTCTGATTCACGATAATGAAAAACACAAGTTATATTATTTGTATCCTATATGCAGCTGATTCAATGTCCAAAACGCAATAGCAGCGTCTAGATAGTAGCAAACATACAAACTTAACTTAAGTATCTTCTGGAGACTGTCAACAACCCGCACCCTTTAACTTGTTCAAAGAACGCAGCAGATTTGAACGTCAATCCCTCTGGCTTCCACTCGGCTTTCTCTTCCCCTTCTCTGTCCCACTCTTCTGCGGTTGCGCTGAACACGAGCTCAACCTTGCTCAATTCCATCTTCGACAGAACTGCATCGAGCTCTGCCCACTTGTTCTGACTCCCAGATATGCCAATCAGGCCATACTCCAATTGGACCTCCTTTAAGCACCCCCCTTGGGCTTTATGTAGCAGGTGTATGAGCCAATCTGTTAGCTCGTCATAGTTTTTGCATCCATCTGCCGCATCCCAGTGCCAGGGGGTGATCACAAGCAAACGAAGCCTGGTAACGTTTTGGATATCCGGAACGGGTATCTTTGACTCGGAGGCTCCCACTAGAAATAACTCATCCAGGTGTGTATAAGGAATCACATTGTATTGTGGGATGTTCTGCTCTGGATGGTAAATTGGGTAGGTGAGCCGTCGAATACAAGGTGGCATGGAGAGGAGTGGGAGGAGGCACATGATGGTATTCATGTCCGATTGGGTGTTGGCTGGGGTAATCACTAATTCTTCAAGCTCAAGAGAAACTTCAGACGATGAAGATGTCTCTTCATAAATGTATACGTCACATAGCGCTAGCTTGTTTAATTTGTGGAACCCCCCGAGGAAGGTGCCAAGGTTCATCACATAACAATGCTTCATCTCCAATTCCTCAACCTCAGGCCAGATGATATTAATGCCAACTAGGTCCACCTTGACAAGATGCAAGGACGTCAAGTTCTTCATCATTGCAAAGATGATAGGCAGCTGCGGTTCAGAGGCCCGGAGGGCATTTTCGCTCAAGGTAAGACTCCTTACAAGTGGCGCCACATATTGGCACTTCTCCAAGAAATTTTCGCAGCGATTGAATGACCGATGTGGGATGAAATCGAAGTGTATGGTGCGGAATAGGTGATAGCGGCTGCGGTGGACAAGTTGGCGAGAGGATAATGCGCAAGCTGTGAGAGAGTGAACATCATCGGAAAGGGCATCAACTATTTCATCCATGAGTTCCGGCAGTAATCTAGGTGTCAAAACTGCACATTGCAGGGTAGGTTGTAAGGTGGTCATGGTGGTCATGGACAAAGTTCTGGGCAGGCGCTTTGAGGTCCCTCTCTTTATAAATACCGGTGTGAGACATCCGAGAGTTTGACATTTGATTGATCAAAATTCACAAGATTCATGTCCATTCTGGTATACATCGCTAATATTAGTAGCACACTTCACATCTATCGAACCTCACGAATGAAAACTTGCTGCTTCGACCCGACCGCGTTTGTAGCGCAATCGACTCTGCTTTGGACTGCCGGCTTATCATCAATTTCAAGACTGTCGCCACCGGAACAACAGGAGCATGGCTGATCGGTTTCTTCTATACTCGGGGTCGGGGCCGCTGTACGAGAGTCACTGTGGCGGCAAGAGTCCTCGCTCCTGCGGACACCACAGTCAGGGAGACCGCAGCAACTATCGACATCACTGCTAGCCATAGTGATGTCAGGGATTCTTTCAGGTTAAAAAGACACCAAACGTAAAACGAGAGAGGGAGAGAATTGGTAGTGCAGATAAGGCTTGGCGCAGCACATAGTACGTACTCACGGTTCAGGAGTTCCCAGACATCTTACTACCTAAAGACAAACTTCTGGCTCGATGGAACTAACAAGCAGTAGCTTAGACTCGGTTAAGACTAGACGTTTTTTCATTAATAAAAAAGGCAGCTCTCGGGCCGTATTCTGGTCATGGTGATATTGCCACAAAAAATCGTTACAAGGATTATATATATTCCTGTACCAGGAGCGACCTTCAAGCAGCAAGAAAAAGCGAAGGATGAAGTTAAGATGCCACGAACCTGTGATTAATGCGAATGCTCGACAAAAGACCTTCAAAAATTGGTTTACATTTCCAAACGAGCAGAAACTGAGCCTGAGAAAACATACATACCAAGCCTACTGTACATATAAAAACTACCATCAGGAGAGCGAAATTTTGGTTTCCATGTGTAGAAATGTTAAGTGAATCCTCTACTGTCATCGAAATTCTTCTTTGCTTTCTGCTTCTTCACTTGAAAAAGCGACAAGACTGAGCAATCGCCAGCACTGGCACGAGAGAGGCGAATTCACCCAATCCAGCCCATTGAGGCTGTACGCGGATATCAACAAGGAGCCCAGATCCAAAGAGCACGGCCAAGACGTTGTACGACAGCGCCCAAGAGAGGCTCAACACGATGCGACGCCAGGTCAGACGCGACACCGTGATTGTCTCCAACAAGCCCCTCAAACCGCCGGATAGTATAACGATATCCGCCGAGTTGATGGCTATAGCTGTTCCCGACACCAGGGACACGCCAATATCTGCTTGGGCGAGAGCTGCGGTGTCATTACTCCCATCGCCAACGAAAACCACAATATTCTTTTGCTGCGGCGTTCCATGAGCATGCGCTTCGGCGTGATTCTCACTATGCTCATGTCCAGACTCGACATCGTCCTGCTCGCAGGAAGCGCTCCACGAAGTCATACGAACTATGTCCCGTTTGTCTTCCGGTAGGCAGTTCCCCTTCGCTTTGACTCCCTCGACTCCAAGCCTGCGACACACTCCGTCAACGGCCTTCTGGTGGTCTCCACTCAGAATGGACACTGTGATTCCCCGTGCTACCAGAGAAGACACAACCTCGATGCTCTCGGAACGAAGGTCATCCTCCAGTCCGAAGGCAGCGAGGAAGACGTGGTCAACTGTTACAGCAAAGACGCTCTTTCCTGCATCCAGCATGTTAACTACGCAATCAACATCTTGTACCGCGCACCAGCTAACGCTTCCTCCCCGAACGATAGAGCCATTCCAGTTGGCTTGGATACCTTTGCCCACCACAGTTTCTATATTGTCTAGGTCACTGACTGAATCAGCACCCACAGCCAGATATCGGGCCACAGCGGCCGACACAGGATGTTCTGATCCTGCAACGAGAGCCTTGATCAGCCTATTGGCGTCACCTGCAATCCATATTCCACTGGTTTCGTCAAAATTTGACTCCACCACTCTCATCTTTCCGGTCGTCAACGTTCCTGTCTTATCGAAAATGACATGGGTAACGGCGCGCGCGTTCTGGAGAGCAGCAGAAGATTTAAAGAGCAGAGAAAACTGTGACTTCTGGGATGCATTCCGTGCGTAGAGAACAACGAGGGGGACACATAGAGTGAGGGCGCACGGACATGACAAAGCTAATACCGCGACAGCGTAAGAGAGACCGTCTGCGAATGCCTTGCCTAGGGACTCATGCCTTGCATACTTGAGCACTAGCGTCCACACGCTAAACGCGATTGCCGAAACAGCCAATATAATAGGAATAACACGACGCGCAATCCTATCCGCTGTATCTTGGATAGGAGCTCGGGAGGAGCGCGCTTCTGCAGTTAAACGGCGTAATTCAGCCAGTGAGTTGTCTTGTACGGTTTTCGATAAACGGATATATAATGACTGCGGACCAAGGACTGTTGTTCCTGCAAGAACCGGAGCTCCTGGACCTTTGGTTATAGGGACGGTCTCGCCAGTAATCAAAGACTCGTCGATATCTGACGTGTTGGTGACGACAATACCATCACTTGGGATGGTCTCAGCTGCATGAACAACGACCGTGTCGTCCACTTCTAGCAATGCCGTGTGAATATCTTGAGCACTATTAACGAGTTTGGGATCAATCCAATGTGCGACTTCAATAGGAGGAGGAGTGAGGCCAACAGAGCTCCGTCTGGCTGCATTCCGTGCATAGACAGAGACGAGGCGGCCGAGTAGGATCAGTGTGATGAGCAAGGTACTCGTTTCAAAGAAGCTATCGAGATCGACACGATGTTTGGCGACATTATATCCGTAGCTGACCATGGAATAGAGGTATGCAGAGAGGGAAGATAGAGAAATTAAGACATCGGCATCTAAACGTCGGTCAACGATGGTTGCGCGTCCTGCAGCAAGAGTGATATGACCAGCACAAAATATCTGGACGAGGGACGCGAGGCCGAGAGCGATCCCACCACGAAGAGCGAATTGACTCTCGAAGCCACTGGACCACGATATGACTAGGACCGGAATGGTAAGAATTGCAGATAAAAGGAAGCGCCAGATCGAGCGACGAAGGTCAAGCGCCGCTGCTTCATCTATGACCGCCTCACCGTCGTCTTCGTTAACTGGTGTCACCATCCACCCTTGCCCAAGCAGGGCTCCATGGATATCACGCGCTAACGGGTGACGTGCCGCAGAATCGATTGTGAAGCGAACATCCGCGCGAGAAATTTTCAAAATCTCTTGTTCACGACCAAAAAGTGCTTGAAGAATGTCCAAGGCTGGGGCACCGGCGGGGGAGAAAGATACGCGGAGAGTACGTTGGCCATTTCGCAAGCTTGCAATGGTGCAAATAAATCCGGTTGCGTTTTCCACCTTGCGGCGGATAGTCTCGGGATCGATAGAGCCACTGATGTAGCTACAACTCGCTCGAGCACTGACAAAGTCCACCTATGTTCACTGTTAGTCAAGGCACTACTTGTGTCGAAATTATTTTGTACCTTTACGTCCATCACCCCGAGGCCTTTCAGTGCTCGTTCAACTCTTGGAGAACACGCTGGACAGTCCATGCCAACAACCATGAGAGTGAGAACTTTTTCCTTCCCATCTTGGTCGGCGGGTGACGTGTCATCGACGGAAGCATAATTAAGACGCTCTCCGTCGATTCCAGTACAACATGGCACTCTTTTAGCTTTCCACAAAAGTTTTAAGCGTCTTCCTCTTCTTATCGGACTCGTGCAACATGCAGCTCCGCAGCACCTGCGTCCGCGAACTTCTGTACAGCAGTCAGCACACGTTACAAATTATGGGACCCAAATTGAAAACTTGCTAGCATGAGTCGATAACCCTAGTCCTTGCAATGCAATTGAGCCTTCTCTGCTAGCAATTACCGGCTTATCATCGTTATCGTCACCCGAACAACAGGAGCATGGCTGATCGTCCTCTTGAGCCGGCGCTTCAGTTTGCGCGCTCGAAGCAGGCTTTTCAGCACAACAATTATCCGAACAGGACTCGGGGTCTGCGCCACTTGGGGTTACCGCATCATCGTTGCGGGTACCACCACAGTCAGGAGCTGCAGGGGTACCGCCACAGTCGTGGGAACTGCAACAGGTGCTGACGTCTTTGCTAGCCATGAGATCGAAAACTAACAAGTTCGAATGGAATAGAGTGAAGAATCCGAGCAACGAGAAGGGCTGAAGAGGCGGCGGTAGGGAAAAGTGAGGCCACTTGGTTATCTGGCACGTGGAATTTTAGGCGGAGCTGTATTAGAAACTTGAGCTGGCATGTTTCGGTGACCGAATGCTCCAACGAGGATTGGGATGATCTCAGACACAAGGTAGAGTTAGACATAAAGCTGGTAATCATCGATGAAATTAGAAGGACCATTGGGAAGTATCAGCGAATTTTTAAATACCCTCGGCGTCTTATGAAGTGAGATGGTAAATCAGCTTCTCTCCCGATATCGGCTTCATCCAGGGCTTTGAACTGCTTTGAACAGCGTTCTTTTCTCTATCTGCAACCTTTCTGGATCCCAAAAGAGCGAAGCCTTTGGTAACTATACTCTCCAGTCCACCCGGCATAACACGAACAGGGTTGGGCTGGATGAGCAAGTTCTTCCCATCTCTTCCCAGAAAAGAAAAGAAGGTAACAGTGAACGCTCGCCATTCAGGAGATTCCGGGAGAGTCTCCCCATTGTAGAGAATCTCGTGACCTAGTCCTGACCATGCAGCGCCATACAGAGGTGTCACATCTGCTCGAATGCCATCCTTGTTCCACGCTGCCTTTCGAATGACAGCGATCGTTCCGCCACCTTCCCTAAACGTCTGGGATATGTGTGCGGTGGTGTCATCCTCTGATAGACAGTCGAAGGCATGCGTGATTCCCCCAGAAACGTTTCGAACATGATCAACCTGTGTAGGAGAGCGGTATTCAAATACGGCTTCAACACCAAGTGAAAGCAGCTTGGCGTGATTCCTCGGGCTGGCTGTAGCGAATACACGATAGGTCTGCGCACCCGCAGAGTGCAATAGCTTGATCAGCTCGATTGCATAGAAACCGATAGACGTTGCTGCAGAAGAGATTAAGATTGAAGGAGCAGGGGTAGCTTCAGGAGGGAATGAGAAGGGACTTGGAAATGGCGCATTGATTCTGAGACGAATAAACAAAGCCTGTCTCATCAGGTCAGTTATTGTGAATATTTTGAAGAAGACTCTAGCTTTACTTGTGCGGCTGTCAATGAGCCCAGAGGCAATGTTGCAGCTTCGTCGTAAGAGACAGTACTAGGAATACGGATAGCCAAATCGACTTCGAGAATAACGTATTGCGCGAACCCTCCAGGCCGAATATTCCCGGACGTCGCTGAAGAAATATGAAACTTATGAACAAGTTGCATATATGCTAAGCTGCTGCTGCCTACCTCCCTGGAGAAGTCCCGTTACTTTATCACCAACACGCCATTGGATGGTATCTGATCCAACTTTGTCAACAATACCGGCAATATCGCTCCCTACGACACAACCAAACGCTTTGTCTGCAGGATGTGCAACGTAGAGCGCGTCGACGAGGTTCAGTGCAACAGAATGAACCTTGACCCTGTATCCCTCATGAGACTATATTTTCGATAAGAATTTGAAAGCGAAGCGTACCTTATTTCGTTAGGACCGGGCTCTGGAATAGGCAGTTCGACAACAACAACTGTATCTCCCGGGGCAATTGTGAGAGCCTTCATGATGATGTTGGTATACAACGCCCTCGATATTGTCCTTGCTTAAAATATATGGGTAGAGCGGCTGGTGTTTGACCCTAGGTCTGGTTTAAAAATGGCTCATTTAAATAGAGGTAAGCGCTCACTAATGCAGTTAAATTATAACACATCGGAGTCGGTAGAGGTAACGAAAGTCTGACAGATGCTTGGAGACATCTGGGCCACTGAATATGGCTCTGTAATGGAAGAAAAGAGAAACATAGAGAAGCTGGCAAGAAAGTGGGAGACAGGAGAGATGATCATTGGTGATTCCAAACAATAGCACAGCCACAGAAGCCTACCGCCATGCCATCATGTCAGTTTCTCTTTCACGATATCTGATCCACGGCTGACATTTTTCAGTTGCAGAGTTGAAGGAAAAGGCGACAAAAGTCAAGGATGATGGCGTAACTAAGATACAAAATACACGGGATAGGCACTCCAGGTATGAGAGCGTTTCTTATCTTCGGCTGGCAGCTAACAGAAAACCCAGTGTACCTCTTAAAAAGACGAATTGGGACCCATACACTAAGCAGCCGCCTCCACCGCCTCCTGCTCCACGTACTAGTATTTCAGCTCACCCATCAATATCTCCTCCACCTTCTCGTTCGTCGATATCTCCACCCCCACAAGCTCCAGGACGAGGAGCACTTCCACCGCCTATCAAGCGCTCAACACGCCCACCCCTTCACAGTGCTCCATCGGATTCACCTTCCGCCAGCGTCCCTTCGCTGCCTCCTCGAAGATTTCCAGCACCGTCATATCGATCTGCTTCAGCCGAACCAGAGATTGATTGGGCCAATCTTTCACTGGAGGATAAACAAGTCTTCTTCAGCTGGTTGGATGAGTTTTTCGAGAGGTCATATGGCATTCCGGCGTCATCTCAGGTACTCTATTCTTATCTTTTGGATCATCGTTTAGACCGGCTAACGTTCCCAGTGAGGCCGTCTTGCTTTTGAATTAGAATGACCGCGTGTACTGGATGACATTGGATGGCCAGTTCTCTTAGTCTTACCCTTACACTTGTCGCTTACTCGCCTCACAGTATTCCTTGTAAATCTTTAATGAATGCACTTTAACACAAAGGGGGCCAACTGTCCTGGTGCCGATAACTTTCATAGGGGCACGACCGATCTATTTAGTCAATCTGTCATTCTCGTCGGCACGTCAAACGTCACCGCTCCGGTATCCTATAAGATGTCGAGAGAAAGGTGGTTGAGCTCAAAATACAACCACAATCACGATGTCGACAGTGTTTCAACGAAAGATTGGTAATGCCTCCGTATCCGCCGTTGGCTTTGGGGCAATGGGAATCAGTGTCGCATACGGTACCACTGAACCAGACGAAGAGCGATTCAAGGTATCTGCTGCGCCCATCCTTTGTTTCACGAGCGCTTACTAGATCCATAGGTGCTGGATGCTGCATTCGAAGCGGGATGCACGTTCTGGGATAGCGCCGACGTATATCTCGATTCGGAAGACCTCATTGGGAAATGGTACGAACCGACTGACTCAGGAGAACCTTTATACTGAGTAGATGCTTGTAGGTTCAAGCGTAATCCCGGAAAACGCGATTCCATTTTCCTTGCCACGAAATTCGGAGTCACTATGCAAGGTACTCGCGGTGATCCTGAGTACGTCAAGGAGCAGTGCTATAAGTCACTCAAGAGGCTCGGTGTAGATTACATCGACTTGTATTATCAACATCGGTGGGTGTTAAATTATTTGGCCGATTGAAAATGACTTACCAAAGAAAAAGAGTCGACCCAAACACTCCCATCGAGAAGACAGTAGAGGCTATGGCTGAACTTGTCAAGTAAGTCTTCCCTCCATGAACGAGCTCCCATCTGACATTGAGACAGAGAAGGCAAAGTCAAGTACCTCGGTCTCTCAGACTGTACAGCGTCTGGTCTCCGTCGCGCCCATGCTATCCACCCCATATCCGCCCTCCAAATCGAATATTCACCTTTCATGCTTGACATCGAAAAGCCACCCCTTGAGCTCATCCAGATAGCTCGTGAGCTGGGCGTGAAGATCGTTGCCTACTCTCCGCTCGGTCGTGGCCTCCTGACAGGCCAAATCCGCTCTCGAGATGACCTTGAGCCGACAGATTTCCGCTTGACGGTGCCCAAGTTCAGCGCAGAGAATTTCCCAAAAATCCTGTCGCTTGTAGACAGGATTGGAGACGTGGCGCAGAGACATGATGCGACACCTGGACAAGCTGCGCTCGCATGGATTCTGGCGCAGGGCGAGGATGTCTTTGTCATTCCAGGGACGAAGAAGATCAAGGTTAGTTCAACCTTCACCAATGATTTGAGTTGTGGCTCATCATTCGGCTTGATTAGTACCTGAAAGAAAACCTAGGTGCTGAGTTGCTCAGGCTGACACCACCGGAGATTGCGGAGATACGACAAATTGCTGAAGAAACGGAGATTCCAGGAGACCGCTACGGACCAGGATTCTTGGAGTTGACATACGTCGAGAGTCCGGCATTGAAATGAACATGTGCGTCTCAGTAGACAAGGGGCTTTTATCCTGCTTCAACGACGCATCCACTTCTTCCTGAACAGCAACGTTCTCTGGTTTGCTTGTTGAGACTTTTGATGTGGATGGGAGGATAGTTCGCTCTATTGGTTAACGGTAATCACCAACGTATTGAATCCTGCCAAATTAGTTTAGTTCCGAGTCATTTTTATAACAGTATAGATTATGTACCACTGTCTTTAAAATATAGAACGATGGCCCCCCCTCTCAACTTCCCTCCCGCACAAAGCATCTAATCGGCGTCGCTATAGCTCGTAATCATATCATAGTGAAGATTTCAAAATGTATCAAGTCGTAGAAAACAGTACCAGTGTGTGTGCCACCAACAAGTATTAACAAATATATGAGCTAGAGGAGTCATAATAAGCGAGAAAACTCAAAGATTAGTGAAGTTCGGCTACCCAGTATTTCCCTTCGACCTCATTGCTACGGAATGTTCTATTACCTGGCAGTGTGTATAATCCTTCCAGTATTGGGTATTGGTGGTCGGCGACAACTTTGAATGTGTGCCTTTCCCCAGAGTGGTCTTTGATGACCAAGTCTCCCTGTCGGTGTTTCCCCTCTAGCGATCCTTCAGCCAATCCCCGCACATAACCTGCTTCAATACAGGGCCCCGCATACCCGTTCACATCTGTCTCTTCTGTCCGCCTGACCCCCTTCTCTAAATGAACACTATCTGACGGCAGCACCTCAGTCATGACCTGCCTCCATGATAGTCGCCAACCTTTGTTTCCGTCGCCAGGTCTAGGATAGAAGAACAATTGCGCCCGACCACACCGGTGCATCACACCCACCAGCGCAGTCCATGCATCCTCTTCAGACTGCATCTCATGGTATGCTGGTATTCCCCCCGATGACCAGAGAAGGTATGTCAATCCTGCAACTTTATCCACCGGATTTGTCGACACCCGCTTCTGCATCTCCGACAGTACGCCAAGCACATTTCCGTACATATTCTGCAGTGAAGACAGTTCCTTCTCCATCCTTGCTTGGACCTCCTCTTCCATGCCCGCACCATCACCTGTATCCCCGCCAATGATCAGATCATTACTGAACTCCTGCAGTACATGTACATCATCCCTCTACCCCCTTTAATGTCTCAAACAAAGCATGTCCAGCCACACATACTCTGTGCCCATGTTGAGCATCTCGATCCAGATCAGATCGAGGTTGGCATCCTTTGGGATCGGCACAGGCCATTCCTGTCCATTGATACGAGTCAGCACATCCGCGCGATCCTCTTCTTTCATCCACGCATGAGATATCGCTCTCGGAAATTGGCATGTGATCCAATATGACACTACCCGGTTGCTGTACAGATCCCAGACGTGTCAAGGAGGCACGTCGCGGTCGATAATCCTATTACTGACAAGTACATGTCCACATCTCCTGGTCCCACACTTCGCAGATGCATAGCTTGGCTTCGATATTAGTCAAATCATAGTACAAAAATGGGCAGAGATGGGCATAGGCAGGGCCAAAGTCGTAGTCCTTGCATATGTAGTCTTCAAGAAGGGAGGATAGGCACAGAGTGCTCGTTGGAAAATTGCATGAGATTTTGAGGGTATTGCAGAACTTTCTTAGGTGATGTAAGCATGTGGAGGGAGTCTCCAGATTGTACGGCGTTCCGAGTGGTGTTGAGCTGTGCCAAGACTCCTTCAACACCGAGGTTGGTGCAGGGAGTGTCAACGAGAGAGGATGGTAAAACAGGCTTTCTACTGGTGCAGGACCGTTGCTTGTGCACTGGAATGGACGACTCCGCTCGGCCAGTCTCGGTGAAAGCAGAGGGTGACCTCAGGGAGGCTCTCATAACTGAGATAATCATAATTGAGATGTGCCTGATTTCCCATCTGTTCGTGTTTTTATGGGCTTACCTGTTCATTCAAGGGAAGTGATACAATGGTATCTTTATAACGATCCCACCATTCGCTGCTATCTATTTCGAGTTTTTCTGGTCACATTGAAATGAGGATATGGAATTCGACAGCAATACAACCAACCATACTGTTGCACCGTCTCTAGTGAGTCGTCTTGGTGTCCTCTGGTCGCACCGGGGCTGTTTGGGGGCCTGGTCCTCGTGGTAGGAAGCAAAAGCAGACATAGATGCTGGACCAGGCCAACGTCACAGCCTCCAGGAAATCTGCCGCCAGATAGACACCCTATCTGATTCCTCTCTTCGTCCAAGAGTGCATGAAACCCATACGTTACAATGTACACAATGCTTCGGTCTCTTTGTTCTCGTCTGTAGTATGAGGTAAAGAAGTGGCGTCCCGTAATATGTTGATTTTCGATAGACGCCCACACCGCAACTCTCGGTGGACGCTCCGCTTCGCTTCCTGTTCTTCCCCAGTTCAGTCATGACTGTGACGCCGCTTTCTGAAACTGATGAGAAGGAATGTCCCGGGGTGTGTATTCCTCCGACTCAATCACACAGCGTCTAGATGAATGTATTGCCGCCGCGGCGCTCGCATTCGACGATAACATGAATAGCCATCCAGAATTCCACCTGTTGGAGAAACAGGTGGACAGATATCGTTCGCGACTTGATTATGTAAGGGTCCTCGGAAGCTGCGTAGATCGACATGAATATCATCTATACGAGATGTTCACGTACCTTCTCATCAGAGTTATGAGGGTTGGACTCAAACCATCTGATTCCCGGTAGTTAGGCGCGGGACGCATCTACCTATCGAAACGTAAACAATGAGTCGTACCATTTATGACAACGGAAAAAACGAACCACCAACAGGGATTTCGTCAACGAACGAACACGCCCTAGCCTCTGGGCGCCAACTAGGGCTTCTCGACCTCTCTCATCACGCTCACTATTTGGTCCCAAATTCTTTTCTCGTGGTCGTTCCGAGCGACTCTCACCCCGGTACTATCATCACAAGGCCCAAGGATGGTATTCATGCAGGTGGATCAACCACGCTACATCGACCCGTAGCTTTGCACCAGCACTGATCCATCTATCAGCATCCAGTGAGCAAAATATAAGTGACAGATGGAAGGAAATGTGAATATACAGTTATTTTCCATCCTACGACCTTGTGATGTATACCGTCCATCATCACACAACACTCGGGCGAACCAACATGATATTACACCCTGGGTTAACATTCCTAATTTTGACACTGCAGCTACCACATGTGAGGTCCGGGTTTCTTCGTCACGTTCCGCGCCACACCCAGACACGTCCGCGTTAGACTCGAGGAAACTTCCTCAGACGCATATCCCGAAGACCTTGTGTAGGGTCGACGTTCAATAGTTCCGAACTAAACCGTGATGACGTATGAGGCTCTCGAGATCGGTACAAGATATCTGTAAGAAGCGGGAACAAGAGGTGCAGAAAACATACTCACCTGGATTCTTCGCAGTGATGCACGGATAGGAAAGTACGAAGAACGATGTTCCACGTGCACCATTCGGAAGCTGTGTGAAGAAGATAAAGATCATCTGCCGGGATGACATTTTTAACTATACATTTGAGAGTTTGAGGCATACGTGTTGTATTCGCATTCCATGTCGTGGCATTAGTCGGTCACCGGGAGAAATATCGCGTACATGTGGCAGGCTGGATTACAATTCTTGATGGTGAAATCCAACCTCCGGTTTACTTACCCTTTCATCATAATCACATCGATTATCGATTCTTCACCCAGGCTCCGAAGACTTCCCACCAGCAAAGGCAGCGCATAGCCAAATTATTGCTGTCGAGATCAAAATAAGTGGTCTCGTGTTCGATAAAAGGTGAGGGGGGACGGATCTCGAAAATGGATTTATCACTCAGCAAGCGCGCGCTACCACAAAGGCGCTAAGATGTTCTCGACGTATCAAATTTTCTCGACCCCTACCCCTCGTACGTTACTCTTATGGATGATATCGAAGCCGAAGCACAGACCGGCAACAATTTTGGAGCATGGTAATCCCTCAGTTCATAGTTGATATGGTGGGTAAGGAAATATTCGTACGTCAGGACTGGATGGGGACCCGCGAAAAAGCTGAGCGTAAGGATGCACTGTAACAGAAGGGTCCGATTCGTATTGGGACATGAGAGAGGAGGATGACGATGACTGAAGCACAACACTTGGTCGGAGAATAGGAGGCAGAGACAGTCTATCAAACAAGATTTAGTCGAGGTCCATTGAATTATAAGTAGTAAACGTGCTTCGTAAATCTGACAGAATTCCAGCGTAGACATCGTTGGTAACCGGTAAAGTCGCCACGCAGTAACCCAGCAGATGTGGTGGCCAATCTCTACAATGATCATAGTTTTTATCGCATTGCCCACCGGCATTTCCGTTGGAAGAAAAACTCGCTGCTCTCCTCCAGCGTTTCCATCCCTGGTCCAACCTAGTTGTAGTTTATCGGCATCAGAGAACTTGAATAAAAGGTAATTTGAGGCCTACTTGGAATCTAGGATAAACAAGCGACTTGGGTGGTATGCGTGTCTGGAAAACGGTGCACAAGAATGAGAACACTCTATCCGGCGGATCGCCAGGGAATGGAACACAATTCTGGGGACCGCAAAATCGAAGCTAGAATATGCAGGCGAAAAATAACATAGGTGAGGGCTGTGGATAGCGATGGACGGGGAATCTGACGTAGACGTAAGCTTTTGACGTATGAGCCATGTCGTGATTGGCGAGGGACTTCAATTTGGCTTAAGGTTAATAGCTGTAGCTGTGGCGCTGTGGGATGAGAACAAGCCCAAATGTGCTGCTGAATCCTAGACCATTTGTAAAAAGGTGATTCAGTTCAGCGAGAAAAGGAGAGAAGGAGCTATACGCACACTGATGGCCGTCAGAAACTCTCCGCCTCTCTTGACTGCAGTTGGGACCTTTCATTCAAGTAATGCAAAGCAGCGGGCAGTTATGCGCCCTCCCTCCCTTCCAATTCGCTGATCCTCGAGCGTCATCAAAGTTACAGCAAGCTGTTGGGAACCATTCGTGGTAAAAAATCATCCTAAACACGCTATAATTGTTATACTTGGGTCGAGAGAAAGGAGCAGAAGATATCAGAACAGCTTACCTTGGCGCTTTCTTGCGATTGTATTGTATAACTGGCTCTTTGCGTCCTTCAATCTTTGGGTGGGAGCACACCCGCTGCTGAATTAAACGGTTCTCTTCTCTAGATACACGAGTTGTGATATATGTTCCTATGTAGCGAGCTGTAAATCATGACCCGGCATATGGAAGAAATTACCTACAATGCTGCCAAAAGCCTGTAGTCAGCTCCGTCGATCGCTGTCCTCTTTCAACGTCCTAAAAACGGCTTCTCAAAAGCTGCAGACTATGAAATACACGATGTCAGCACTAAATCCCAAGAGCGAGAACCATCCAACATACGCGTCTTGACGATGACAAAACGCTCTACAGATCCGTGCCAGGGGGCCAGAGTATTGACATCCGAAAGACAGAACAAAAGCTCCAACAGAGGTTCAGCGGTAGCAATTCGCGGCAGTAAACGTGAGAGCAGCAGGCAGCATGTCAGACAGAAAGCTCGGTGATGAGAGCGGCGTCGAGAACGGTATCAGTGAATTCGGTCCGGATTCCGGGATGGCCGGAAAACGGCATTGTGGCGCACATCCAAACTTGGAATCTGCTTTCACCAACGACGTCCCTCTCTTGCTCTACATGCTAGCGGTGCTCCCGGAGACATAGATATATGCTTTAAGATATAATATGGATATTACAGCCGTACAGAATGCGTCGATTCGTAGTTTATCGCCCGTAGTCGATCTTCGACAGTATCTGTGGGTCCATCTCAGTCCGGTTACTTGCCATTTAGTGAATTTCATGATGAGATTGTCAAATCTCTTTTCTTATTCCTTTGACAGAATACGATGGGATTTCCTCTTCGTTTGACTATCCTGGGATGCTAAACCAGCCCCTTTTCCGCTCTCCCACTCCTTTATCACCCGCTGCCTTTGCGTTCAACAGTATTCTCTCCTCCCCTTCTCTAAACTACTACTCTAGTCTGCAAAGGCTGTGCCCGAAGAGTATCGATTCCATCCAAGGCTTTCAGTCTCAGCTAGAGACATACTTTTCTTCTGGTCTTCTTGATGACGTTGGTCCCCCTACGCGAAGAGGCAACACCTCACGAGCGCAATTCTTGTGGCCGCGTACCCTAGACATAACGGTTGCGGGTCGGCTTCAAATCGTCGCGAATGCATCGTGTAAGGCGGGATTTGCGACCATCGGCGCTTTTCCCTTTGTTCCATTCACCGAATTCATCCGAAGGCGAATACGCAGGGCATGTTTCGCATGCGCATTGCATTTCTGCTTTCATTCGCGATAGCTCTCAAGTGGCCGGGTTTTTCTATACAAACACTCGGATGCTGTCTCGTATCACAACAGGCAGATCGACGAGCCTCATTTCCACTTCCCCGGTATGCGCTTGCCTCCACACTTCGCCTCCAACGTGTTCTATCAGCACCTCTCCCCAACTGTACCAAAAATGCGCTTATAAATTGGGCATTCTTTGCATTGAGTCCATACGTTTGGCCGAGTGCCTGACTTTTGTGCGAAAGAAAAATGAGCAGATATCGTGGGACTTGCTGTTCTCGCGGTGGATGAATGGCATTCAGGACCAGATAGCAAAGATAGCACCAGCTTTACTTGCGATAACATCTACCTGTGCTGTGAATAAAGAGGCTCGTAAACAGCTTGAGGAGGCTTCAAATCATACCGCTCCCAATGCGCTGCTCTCAAGCAATAACTCGACGCCGACTAATATGACCCGACCACAGCACCATTCTCTGATAATATCTTATCCGGTGTTTCTATTGGCAAGCGCAACGATTCATGGCTGGTAAGTGGCACCGGTTGACGGAAGGTGTCAATGCACGGACGGATCCCCTTTGCAGCAGTTCTTTACATTGTTCAGAAAATCAGATGAAACGGGCCTTGCCACATCTATAAGTGTCGTGCTTCTTTACCATGTGGTCCAAATCACATGTACATTGCACAATCCACTCTTGTGTCTCCGTCTTCCATCTGGATGTTTCTTCACTGGCTCAACATCACAGTCAGTACTGTGTCAGATCTGCTATGGTATCTGGTATTGTCAGTAACTTTCCAATTCTCCTGACGATTCCTATTGCATCTCTGGTTTTGACAGGTCGCCGCCTCCTCCAACGTAAGAGATCGTTGTGCAGAAGACGATCAACTGATCAACGTTCAAACCTTTCAGGTTTGTAGATGGTCTTCCAGAGCAAAAGCCTGAATCTCCTCCGTCGTACGTAGATCCTGTCCATCTGAATGACCCATAATGACTCTATCCTTCAGTCCTCCTCAGCCTATTACCTTTGGATGGTTGGTTTTATTTTCACGTCTAGGATATACATACTGATTATGAGATTGTTAGCTCTACCCCGCCCCTATACGCACTGGTTATTGGCATCGACAAATACCTTTCGAACAAGGTCCCAGATCTGAAGGGTGCAGTTGCCGATGCTGACGCCGTCGATACATTTTTGCAAGAGACTCTCCTCGTTCCAAAGGACCAAATCAAGAATCTTCGCAACGTGGATGCCACGAGAGTTACTATCGAGACGGAGATTAAGAGGCTTGGGGACAATTCAGCAATCAAAAAGGACGACCCGATTCTCATCTACTATGCAGGGCACGGAGCCGAAGCGGATGCGCCGTCTGGATGGCCCAGCACCGACAAGAAAATACAAATGCTTGTTCCTCACGATTTTGACCCCAACGGGTCGACCGACTCCGAGCGAGGTCAAGGTCTATTAGATATGAGGCTCTCTCATCTTCTCGCAGACCTCGCTATGAAAAAGTCAGACAACATTGTAAGATTTCTTTTTTTTTCTGTCACGTATGGTAACTGATTAGGTGCACCGACAGACTGTCATTTTTGATTGTTGTCACTCTGGCTCGGGCACGCGAATGGAAGGCAATGATCCTACTTTTGCCGTTCGCGGGATCGATCTCCCTGAGACTTATACAGTTGATCAAGACCTCTTGCATGACATTGAGCCGGATGCTCGGGCGGGTGTCGTTGCAAAGGGATTCGAGAAGTCCGGTCTGTCGTCACATATGCTCCTTTCAGCATGTAAAGCGGGACAGGCAGCCATGGAGAAACTCGGACGTGGCGCCTTTACTTCAGCGTTGTTGATCTTGTTACAGGACAACGGCGTCGACAAGCTTACATACAAGGATGTAATAACCAATCTGCCTGATCTTCCCGCGTAAGCCCACTTTCGTGTCCTAGTCTACTAAAACTGATCTATCTGTTATAGGCAACATCCGCAATGTGAAGGTGTCAACCAATCACGATACCTTTTCAATTCCAAAGTAGCCTGCCGACAACTATACCCCATCCGCGCATCTCCTGACTCGCCGGGCCAGTACGTTTTGGAAGCTGGCGAGGCCCATGGGATCACAAGCAAGGCCGAGTTCGTTGTCTTCGCAGATAGAAACATGGTATCTGAGCTTGGAACTGTCGTTGCTTCAACCACCACCGCTTTCACCACCACGTGCGATTTCGCTCCGCGCGGTGATGAAACACCATTCTCCCTTGCTAGTATTGGATATGCTTTGCAGGCTCGAGTCGGCGAGGGACAGGATATTCGCCTTTTCATCGAACCTGACATAAAATTACTCAATGTCTTTAAGCAGATAGCCAACGAGATGCAAAGCATCGAAGCAGCAAAGAGGCGATTCCGTTTGGTGGAGAAGCGTGACGATAAGCCGCATCTGGTCATTGGCGCGGATGGTGATGTTGTCCATTTCGAGGTCATGGATGAGCGCTGTCGACAACATGGGCTAACACACATGCCATTCAAAGTCAAAATCGATGATTCAGACACTATCCACCGCATTCTTCAAAGTTCCGCTGATTTCTACTGGCACCTTTATCGTTCTACTAGCCAAGGGGCCCCCCTCTCCAGCAACGTCACGCTCGAGTGTATGAAGCTTAAAGAGACCGGGAGGTTCACAGATGATTTACAAGAGATTTTGGAACCCGATGGCGATAATCTGAACATTGAAGGTGTGATTTCCGTCGATGTCGATGAGGATGCGATGTATGGATTCAAGATAACCAATATGATGTCGGTACCTCTTTATGTTTCGATGTTCTATTTTGATGTCAGTGATTTGAGCATCGGTGCGCTGTCTTGCTGATCCTCACTTCCCGCTCGACTGACCAGATCACCTGCCTTTTCAGATTCGTACTATCAACCGGGAAGCGCAAAAGACGGCGCCGTTGATGTTTGTCTTCCTGCCAGAGAGTCGTTGACCATCGGGTATGGTGCGAGTGGGACTGTTCCGCATATGTACGCACTAAGGGAGGGACAAGATGTTGATGTTGGCTTCTTGAAGCTGTTCATCTCGAAAAAGTATGTGGACTTGTCGGGTATCATCCAAAAGTCGCCTTTCGACGACGATCGCCACAGCGGGAGATCTCTGGTGAAGAAGAGGGATCTATGGGACGCGATGTGTGTTGCAGTTGTCCAGAAAAAGGGAGGGGGTGCTTCGTGATGCGTAGTGTCGCGGTGGCTTGTAAACTTTCCAGTATGCGACAATTATAACGGTGACGTTCATACCGATTCTTTAGTTTGATACCGGACTGTGGAATGGTGATAGGAAACGTGCCTTTAAGCTTTTGGCTTAAACGCCGGTTCATACCAGGCCCTTAACATTCCGAAAGACACACTATTTTCGGCCTAAGAGCGTTTTCCTCACAGTAGCTGCCACGGTAATCGACGAATGAAACCAGCATTTATATGTCAGCACCGTCATCGGGGAGAAGCTTGTAAGGGAGTAAAACGCCTTCAACGAGGGAGCTAATTGGTTCTTCATGTTTTTTTTTTTTGGCTCGAACACGTACACCGTAGGGGCCCAATGGGCTGGGAGTAACAGATTTCGAGGGATGGAACGGGCCCTCAGGCTTCAGGCATAAATGAAGATCATGGGTGTAGAAAGCAAGTTGTTGCCAAGCGAAGTGTGAAAAGGAAATCTGTTGACACGCCACTTTCGCGTCGTTGATCATCACGTGAAAAATTTGTCGCTCTCGGTTGAGTTACCTGGCTGTGGAGTTTGCTGCGCCCTTCACGCTGCCTGTCGGCTTTCTATACGTGAGTATAATTTCTGATTCTGCCTCTTTTCTAAGCATGCTCAAATGGAACCCTCAGGTTCAAGCGGTGACGTTATGGTGAGCATTCCGTAGGCTTATATTCTCCGGTGCTAGCTTACTATCGAATAAATAGGTTCCGGTCAACAATCGCGCTCTTCAATTTCCGTGTATCCCCCATTTTTGACATAGAAGATCACGATTCTGATATCTATCTGCCCCCCACTATGTCGCCACGGCTGTCTGCATCCACGCCGTACAACCATCTCCGGTCCCAGACACACCTTTCCGACACCAGGGCATCCAATGGTGCCGTCCGCTTCTCCTCGCGAGCCCTCCCCAGTGCGAACGGCGGCTTCCCCCCCCCTTCCTAGTTCCCTATGCATGTCATAACCACCACCGGCCTGTCACCCACCACTGCACTATGGGATAATGCAATGTATTGTCGATAGGTGTGCCCAAGTCCACCACCGACACCTACGGGCCCCAACTCCACCCATCTGTAACATTCTTGGTCATATTCGCAATGGTACGGTACATATCATCCTAGAACTTTTTGGATGCCACTCGTTTTCACCTTGCGGCACGTTTCTGCAGAATAAAACTTCCTTCCTATCTCCATGAATGCATCATATATTTCGAAGTATGATTGAGTATAAGTGGAAATTCCTTGTGGAGCACAGCCATAAGTTTCTATCGCTTTGTTGTATTCTCTTCTTTATATTCGGAAACAGGAAAATTAAGGATAAGAGTGTTGGCATGGCCATTGATCAGATATCTTTCCTACGCTCTGAATTCTACACCATGCACCTAAAAGATGAAGAAGCCGAAGGAATATGGTGGTCATTTTTTATGGAACGCTGTGTACGAAACTAAGAACGTGAACTGCTTTCTCGTATGATGGTATGACTACACATCGTGTATCACGAATAGACTGCAGAGTGGAAGGGAAACAATGACAAGGCAGCCGCTGAAGGTATCGAATCCAAAGGAAAGTACATACCGATATGAACGCCACGTTTCATCTTCACGGCCCAGTAGCTGAACCTGCCCGCTGAACAAGTGTGACACATATCGAGTCCCATACAGGTTTCCTTTTCATCGGTTTTGACTTGCTCTCGCGGTCGCCGACGAAAGGCGACTTCTGGACGATGCCCGACAAGTCTATATACTCCGTCGAGAAGAAGAGCTTCAAGAAGCCAACATCAACATCTTGTCCCTCCCTTAGTGCGTACATATGCGGCACACTCCCACTCGCGCCGTACCCGATGGTCAACGACTCTCTGGCAGGAAGACAAACATCAACGGCGCCGTCTTTTGCGCTTCCCGGTTGATAGTACGAATCTGAAAAGGCAGGTGATCTGGTCAGTCGAGCGGGAAGTGAGGATCAGCAAGACAGCGCACCGATGCTCAAATCACTGACATCAAAATAGAACATCGAAACATAAAGAGGTACCGACATCATATTGGTTATCTTGAATCCATACATCGCATCCTCATCGACATCGACGGAAATCACACCTTCAATGTTCAGATTATCGCCATCGGGTTCCAAAATCTCTTGTAAATCATCTGTGAACCTCCCGGTCTCTTTAAGCTTCATACACTCGAGCGTGACGTTGCTGGAGAGGGGGGCCCCTTGGCTAGTAGAACGATAAAGGTGCCAGTAGAAATCAGCGGAACTTTGAAGAATGCGGTGGATAGTGTCTGAATCATCGATTTTGACTTTGAATGGCATGTGTGTTAGCCCATGTTGTCGACAGCGCTCATCCATGACCTCGAAATGGACAACATCACCATCCGCGCCAATGACCAGATGCGGCTTATCGTCACGCTTCTCCACCAAACGGAATCGCCTCTTTGCTGCTTCGATGCTTTGCATCTCGTTGGCTATCTGCTTAAAGACATTGAGTAATTTTATGTCAGGTTCGATGAAAAGGCGAATATCCTGTCCCTCGCCGACTCGAGCCTGCAAAGCATATCCAATACTAGCAAGGGAGAATGGTGTTTCATCACCGCGCGGAGCGAAATCGCACGTGGTGGTGAAAGCGGTGGTGGTTGAAGCAACGACAGTTCCAAGCTCAGATACCATGTTTCTATCTGCGAAGACAACGAACTCGGCCTTGCTTGTGATCCCATGGGCCTCGCCAGCTTCCAAAGTGTACCGTCCCGGCATGCCAGAGGCATGGATGGGGTATAATTCGCATTGTGGGTTGGTTACTTTGGAATTGAAAAGACATCGATTTTGGTGGACTCCTTCGCACTGTGGATCTTGCCTATAACAGATAGATCAGTTTTAGCAGACTAGGACACGAAAGTGGGCTTACGTGGGAAGATCAGGCAGATTGGTTATTACGTCCTTGTAAGCAAGCTTGTCAATGCCCCTTTTCTTCAACAACTCCAACAGCGCCGTAGTAAAGGCACCGGCTTGTTGACCTTTCTCTATGCCACTTACTGTCTCTCTGGCTGTTTGCCCCCGCCTACATGCTGAAAGGAGCATGTGTGACCGGAGACCCCTATTTTCGTATTTCTTTGGAACGACACTCTCCCGAGCATTTGGCTCAACGCCATTCAAAAGGCCTTGAGGGATAGTGTAAGTCTCTGGGAGCTCGATCCCGCGTACGGCGAAGGTCGGATCAAGGTTGCCTGTTCGCGTTCCCGAGCCAGAGTGACAACAATCAAGAATGACAGTCTGTCGGTGCACCTAATCAGTTACCATACGTGACAGAAAAAAAAAGAAATCTTACAATGTTGTCTGACTTTTTCATAGCGAGGTCTGCGAGAAGATGAGAGAGCCTCATATCTAGTACTCCTTGACCTCGCTCGGAGTCGGTCGACCCGTTGGGGTCAAAGTCGTGTGGAACCAGCATTTGTATCTTCCCGTTGTCGGTGGGCCATCGGGACGGGGCTTTCGCTTCGGCTCCATGCCCTGCATAGTAGATGAGAATCGGGTCGTCCTTCTTGATTGCTGAATTGTCCCCAAGCCTCTTAATCTCCGTCTCGATAGTAACTCTCGTGGCATCCTTGTTGCGAAGATTCTTGATTTGGTCCTTTGGAACGAGGAGAGTCTCTTGCAAAAATGTATTGACTGCGTCAGCATCGGCAACTGCACCCTTCAGATGTCGGACCTCGTTCGAAAGGTATTTGTCGATGCCAATAACCAGCGCAAATAGGGGTGAGATGCTAACAAATCGCAATGCTTAATCAGTGCGCAAATTTGAGGATGTAAAAATAAAACCAACGGTTTAACCGGAGGAGCAAGGGGCCTGAAATAATTGGAATTAGTAGATTGAAGACCACGTACAGGACGGCTTACTTGGACGGAGGACTGTGAAGGACAGGGTCATTACGGATTATTGAGATGGACAGAATCTACGTACGACGCAGGAGTTGAAGGCCTTTTCTCTGGAATATCCGCAGTCCTACAAGGTTCGAGTATTAGGATTACAGTTTATTTACTTGGATGGGATCTACATACGGCGGTGGGGACCTGTAACAAGCAGAGATTCAATTCGAATCGTCAAAAGGATTGGAAAGCTACTGACACTGTTATATACCATAGTAGCTCGAACACATTTGTAACTCTGATGTTGAGCCAGAAAAGAAACATGCCGATGAAAGACGCAAGAGTAGGAGTGTACGTGTGGCTTGTACTGTTGTGCAGGGCAAAGAAGTGCGACACTTTATAGGTGCAGCAGGCTCTGTTGCCCTTTCACCAGTGCACATACATTCGCTTCGTATTCTGACCTTGTGAACAGTGAACACCCACCGCAAAGGTCCCACTGTGTCAAATGATGTAAAATTTTCGGGCGGGGGGTGAAAGAAACAGCATGTTAGAAGTGCCGCAAAGAACCTTGTCCCTCATCAACAGACATGGAGACTCTTCACGCTTCGATGAATACCACATTAGTGACGTGAATGCGAATGTTTGTTTATCTGTCTTCCTTCTTTGTTGGCAATCATATTTGGAAGTACAGTACAAGTACTCACAGCATTGGATATGAACTGATATCCAGGAATATCTCGTACATAGCCCATCGATAATATCACGTGAAAGAAAGGGTTTGTCAGATGGGGGAAAAGAGACACGACGGTCAGCATCGTAAATACCATATTGGGTAAGTCGGTATCATGTTTAAGGCTCGGTGCCAGATTTTAGCCGCGCGGACCCCAAGTTAATGAAGAGACCGACTTGACATGAAGATTGGATCCCCGGACTGTATGCCATAAGTGCGCTATTGGCCTTCATCTTGCACACTTTCACACTCTGATGCTGTGAAAACCCGCTACAAAGGAGATTCATCTGTATATTGACGCCCATGTACAAACCCTGTTCCCTTCTCCCGCTTTTAAGGGACATGAAGATGATGGTGAGTACGTTACGGCGACTGCTGTGACATGAACACGAATTTTGTCGTCCTTCTTTCTTCTCATAACAGTCGTAATCATAGTATGACTGCATCGTGTTTAGTGGTATCAAACACTGAAGAACATTATTTAAAAGCAATGGAAATATCCGACATGAGCACCGCCATTGATTGTATTGGGAATGTATGGTAGAAGAGTGCCATTGGCCTTTCACCTTGCACATATCTTCACACTCTGATTCTGTATAACCAAGCTAAACAATGAAGAAGCTAAGCTGGAAGATCGATCATGAAGGCTAGAAAGTAAGCTCGTGGAAGGCTATGTACGAAACTAAGAATACGAACTGTACTCGTCTATTTGTTCATAACGGTTGTAACGATAGCATGACTACCTGGCCATGGTGCATGTAGACTCAGTAGTATCAAACACTGAAAAATCTAAAGCAATAGAAATAACTGACGCGAGCATCACCGTTGATTGTCGCACCCCGGAAATTGTACTTGTATGCCACGGCCGTTTCTACAGCAGACCAGGCTATGTAAAATGATGATGATGATGATGGTGATGATGATCCCAACCCCTGTCCCGGCATCGTGAGGGACCCTCTCCATGTTTCTGGACAACTGCAATACACATTGTGTCCCCCACATACCTCTTCTTCTCCGGAACTGGATCGCTCTTGCGACTGTCACCGAAAGGCGAGCTTTGGGTAATGCCCGACAAGTCCTTGTACTCCGTTGAGAAAAAGAGCTTCAAGAAGCCAACATCAACATCTTGTCCCTTCTTTAGTGTGTACGTATGCGGAACAGTCCCACTCGCACCGTACCCGACGGTCAACGATTCTCCAGGAGGAAGAGAAACATCAACGGCGCCGTCTTTTGCACTTCCAGGTTGATAGTACGGAACTGAAAAGGCAAATGATCTGGTTAGTCGGGCGCGCAGTGAGGATCAGTAGGACAACGTACCGATTTTCAAATCACTGACATCAAAATAGAACATCGAAACATAAAGACACACCGACGCGGTATTGGTAATCTTGAATCCATACATTGCCTTCTCATCGACATTGACTACAATCACACCTCCGATGTTCAGATTATGGCCATGGGGGTCAGGCATCAAAACCTTGTCGGAACCACCCATGAAGTCTCTGATTTCTTGCAACTTCATACACTCGACTGTGACCTTTCCGGCGAGAGGACTTCCTTGGCTAGACTGGTGAAGGTGCCAGTAAAAATGAGCAGAGCATCGAAGAATGCGGTGGATAGTGTCTGAATCATCGATTTTGACTTTGAATGGCATGCGTGTTAGCCCATGTTGTCGACAGAGCTTGTCCATGATCTCGAAATGGACAACATCACCATGCGCAGAAACCGCTAGATCGGGATGATCGTTTCGGCTCTCCACCAAATGCAATCTCCTCTGTCGTGCTTCGCCATTTTGCATCTCCGCGCCTATCCGCCTCAAGACACCGAATAACATTCGGACCGGCTCGATGAAAAGACGAACATCATGTCCCTCGCCGACTCGAGTCTGCAAGGCAAATCCTGGATGAGCTAGGAAGAAGGGAGTTTCATTGCCCCGCGGGTGGAAATCGCACGTGGTGGTGAAAGCGGTGATCCTTGAAGCAACGACAGTTCCAAGCTCAGATACCATGGTTCTATCAGCAAACACAGCGAACTCGGCGTTCTTTGTGATCCCATGGACCGAGCCAGCTTCCAAAACGTACCGGCCGCAGCGGGATACGCGGATGCCATATAGTTTGCGTTGCGGGCTGGCTACTTTGGAATTGAAAAGGCGTCGGAATTGGTTGACACCTTCGCACTGCGGATTCTGTCTGGAAGAGACGAATAAGCGTTAGCAGACTAGCACACAAAAGTAGGCCTACGCGGGAAGATCGGGTAGATGGGTTATTACGTCTTTGTAAGTAAGCTTGTCGACGCCGCTTTTCTTCAGCAAACTCAACAACGCTGAAGTAAAGGCGCCATGTCCATCTGCCTCTCTGGCTTCTTGCCCCTGCTTACATGCTGAAAGGAGCATGTGTGATGATAGACCTGTCCTCTCGAATCCCTGTGCAGTGGAACTCGACCGAGACTTGTAATGCGAAACGTCATGATGGAAGAGGCCTCGAGGGATAGTGTAGGTCTCTGGGAGCTCGATCCCGCGTACGGCGAAGGTCGGATCATGATTGACTGTTCGCGTTCCCGAGCCAGAGTGACAACAATCAAGAATGACAGTCTGTCGGTGCACCTAATCAGTTACCATACGTGACAGAAAAAAAAAGAAATCTTACAATGTTGTCTGACTTTTTCATAGCGAGGTCTGCGAGAAGATGAGAGAGCCTCATATCTAGTACTCCTTGACCTCGCTTGGAGTCGCTCGACCCCCTGGGTTCAAAGTCGTGTGGAACCAGCATTTGTATCTTCCCGTTGTCGGTGGGCCATTCGGACGGGGCGTTCGCTTCGGCTCCATGCCCTGCGTAGTAGATGAGAATCGGGTCGTCCTTTTTGATTGCTGAATTGTCCCCAAGCCTCTTAATCTCCGTCTCGATAGTAGCTCTCGTTGCATTCTCGTTGCGAATATTCTTAATTCGATGCTCCGGAACGCCGAGAGTCTCGTGTAAAAAAATGTCGACAGCGTCAGCATCAGCAACAGCACCATGCAGATTGCTGATGTTGTCCGAAAGGTACTTGTCGATGCCAATAACCAGTGCGTATAGGGGCGGGGTAGAGCTAACAATCCCATAATCAGTACACATATCCTAGGACGTGAAAATAAATACGAACTGTTCAATGTGAATACACTGGGGAGGACTGTGAAGCACAGAGTCATTACAGTGTATCTACATGGATCACGGGATCAACATACGACTGAGGATACTGAGGAGAAAGAGGCTTTTCCTCTGCTGGACTATCTGGAGACCTGTAAATTCGAGCTTTAGTGGGTCATCTTTTGAGTAGAGACACCTTACGTTAGAGGAGGCGAGGAACTGTAAAAGAAGAGGTTCAATAGGAATCGTCAAAACAATTGGAAAGCTACTGACACTACCAGATACCACAGCAAGTCCAACACAGAGCTCGCTGTGATGTCGAGCCAGTAAACAAACATGTCGATGAAAGACAAAGACGTAGGTAGGATGAGGAATGGCACTATACACGCCAATTGGACGGTAGGATAACAAAAAGCGCCACATTATAGATGTGGTACTAGCGCCCATTTCTCCTTCGCCTTTTCACTTTTCACGTACGTTCGCAATCTGAGTATCTGAATAGCAGGGGAAAAAGGCGCTGTGAAAAGATCCATCCGTCCATTGACGCCTTCGATTCACTGGCGTCAATGTAATGGGAAAAATCGTGTTAGATGCGCTGCAAAGAAACCTTGTCCTTCATGTCGCTCCCTCTGTCGAATGACATGAATATGATGAGTATAATATGACCACTGCTGTAACGTGAATGCGATTTTTCATTCTTCGTCGTGTTGATTGTCATACCGGGAGCATTGGGTCTAAATTGAGATCCATGAGACGCTGTAATTCGGGATTGTGCGTACACAAATAGAGGTATCTGCCACATCGATAACGATTCGGAGAAACAAAGGTGCCCTTAGGAAACAAGGTAAGTAATCGAGGTGAGCAGATCTATATCAATGGTGCCGGACGAAGTCGCAGGAGCCTGGAGGTGAGGCACACGAAGATGCGGGCAGGCGCCGGGTTTTAATTTTCGAAAAATAGCTCTCATCGAAGTCGAGGGTGATGTGGTCGTGAGGATGGGCATGATGCATCCTTGCTCGGAGATAGTTTACTCCTCTCCAAGACCCTCGTCCTTGGATAATTTGGGATTGACGGAAAGATCATCGAGCCGACTGACCAGGCCTACTCGGACGAAAGTTCTCGACGTCTGATTCAACGTGGGCCACTTCCTATCACTAACAAACGCTTAAGCACAAGAAAGGGTAACAGAGATGATGTTAAAACATACGAAGCAACTTCCTTGACCATTCCAAAGGGAACATCAAAGACTCTTTTACAGATCACAATGAGAACTGCCAGTTTTTAGCCAAATATTGGAGCGGCATGTGCTATGTTTCGGTAGCAAAAGCTCCGGCGTTTCGTATTAGACAAGAATAGTAGCTGATTACTGGCTCCGCTGAGGTTGGCGTCTGTAAAGCCCCGAGTGAACCTCTCCGCAAGTTTTGACGTGAGGAATGAACGGCTGAAAAAAACTTGTGATTGAATAGAAGGAAGGAAGAGATCATGTTTCCACCGTGTTTCCAAGATGTTTGCCTCCAAACAATGTGGTCATCTGGTGCTATTCTATGTTCACTTCGTTTAGCTTTTCTAAGTCGCGTCGTCTTCTCTTCGCTTCCTTCTATCACACCCACCTACTCCTTTCTTTTTTTCTGTGGTGCCTGCTGATATGGGCAGACGAGCAGCCTGCGGGGGATGAGTGCCAGCAATTCTCGATACTGCAAAATTCAGGCGGTTATCATGCTGTGAGTTACTACGTCGCTTTCCCAACGGCAAAAAGAAAGCCTAAGGAATCTGTGAGCGGCAAGATGACATTAACTGGAATTCAACTAAGAACCTGGGCGGCCCCCCAGCCGCTACACCATAATGCCAGTCATCTTGTCATGGATCAGTTTTAAAAACATCTTGCATGTGCATCTTTAAGCCGAAAGGGACGTGATCCGATACTATGTCATCTAGGGATTGGTCACAGGTCATAAAGGCAGCGAACCAGCAAACGTCAATTCTAAGTGCATATCATTGAGAGCTGATGTGCTTCAAAGGGGACGAAATGGACCTACGCACAAATCGAGCAGTTTTCACGTTCGTGTCTTACAGAGGCAGATCTGCAGAGAGAACCCTTGCTCAAGAACAAGATGAAAGCAAGGCAGAAAAAAAACGGTAATGCGAAAAGCTTGGGATGGCTCGCAATGATGCCAACCAACATCTGTTTAGAGGCAGATGCATAGAATGAAGTTGGTTGAGTTCCAGTTTGCACGCGATCTTAAGGCGGTGAGAGCAATATAGACATATAGACATATAGAAAAGAAATCAGAAAAACGCCAAAGCAGAAGAATCGGCAACCGTACCTGCACTAGCAATGATTCACACATGTTCCATGCTGACCCCGCTTGGGCCAATTCAGTTTGGAAACGACGGTTATCCAAACTCTGTCACAGAGATGGTCTCGGAGAATGCGCGCATAGCGCTCGATACAATCGAGGCAGGTCATCATAATGCAGCATGAACTGTGGACTGACGAGATAAAGTCAGGAAGATCGTTGAGGTCACTGCGCCCGGACCAGAAGCCTGGAATTACTTCATAAATCAAAGAAAACAGTCCATTTTATCCAAGTCACGCAGGTGGGAAATAAGACGCGGCTCTCAAGGTCAGTTAGATTGGCTTCCACGAGGGGAAAAAGTTCTTCTCTTGCCCTGTGGCAGTTACCCGCAACCGTATTGAAACATTCATCATGGAATTGGAAGCGACTCTTCCATGGCGAGTTATGAAATCACACCCAATTCTAAGTAGACAAAATATGCTTATCGCATGATAGGTGGAACGATTGACCTGGATTCTGGATTGCGAGGTGTTGGGATAGCAATCCCGAGCGAGTACGAGAACGTACTCGAAGATATGATGCCAGTCAGCGGCAGCTGACTTGGATCGTGATCCGGACTTATTTAGTATCTCGTAGAAAGATCTCAAAGTAATACAAAATGTATTTAAGTAGAACGTCTCTCTCTCGAGAGGCTAATTCTAATCCTCTGTACATTACTCTGCTCTCTACTTACAACAGGTTATAGGCCCTGGCCATAACTGAACTTACATCGCTACTCACTTCGCACCCTTTTGTACTTTACGTACACATGTAGAACTGCATGGATAGCCAGTCCATGTATAGAATTGACCCCCTTAAGGGCCCGGAAAATTATCCAACATGGAAAATCAAGATGATCGATATCCTAACCGATTTAGGACTAATTGATTATGCAGATGGAAGCATTCCGGCCCTGGCAGATATGACACTGGTGGCAGATTGGAAGAAGAGTGATAGGAAGGCTCTTTCAACAATAAGATTGCAGGTTTCAAATGGCCTGCTGGTATATATTGCTGGTTCAAAGACTTTGGCAGAAGCCTGGAAAGCTCTAAAGGATATATATGAGTCCAGGAGACCCATGGGAATTGTCCTTGTCAGAAGAAAATTCTTCAGAGCTCAGTGTGAAGAAGGAGGAAACATAGAGGAGCATATTAGGACTATGAGGTCCTATCAGGAGGAGCTAGCATCCCTTAAGCAGAAAGTTGAGGAGGAGAACTTCTCTATTACACTGCTGACTTGAAAGATTCTTACAAGCTGATTTCTCAAATTCTTCAGGAAGACATCCAATTAAAGGAAAAGACTTCTGATCAGACCATGACACTTGCAGCACATGACAAGAAGTCCAATCCAAAAGTCACATGTTATGGATGTGGGGAAACTGGTCACATCAGGACAAATTGCTCAAATAGAAAGAAGAATTCTAGAAAGTCATGGAAAGGAAAGAGAAAGGGCCAGACTCAGACACATATTGCCAAATCAGACTCAGAAGAAGATGACTACATATTTTGTGCAACAGACATTGCACTTACCTCACTCTCAGGAGTATCATGGCTAGGGGACTCTGGCACTATCAGACATATAGTCAAAAATAGATTATATTTTTCTGACTATGTTGAAACCCCAGGACATGAAGTCATTGGTATAGGCAAATCCAAAGGCTTGAGAAAGGGAACTGTAAAGATTAAAATAGTTGAAGGGGAAAAGATCACTCCAGTCACACTAAAGGAGTGTATTCACTGTTCTGATGCACTATTCAATCTTATGTCAATAGGGCACATTACAGATGCTGGATTTGAACTCAAATTCAAAGAGTCCAGAATGAATATTATCTCACCACATGGCAAGATAATCAGCCATGAAGATAAAATATCAAAGCTGTACAGCCTTGACATCATTGTTTCAGAAATAATCCAGGCCCATGCTATGAAATCAGCCTGATCATGGCAAAAGTGGCACAAAACATTAGGCCACTTAAACATGAGATTAGTAAAGAGACTATTTAGGAAGAAAATGGTCAAAGGGATAGATATAGATGAGTCAGCCAAGCCTCAGACAGATTGCATAGCCTGCATAAAAGCCAAACATTATACTAAGCTATTTTCATAGAAAGCTGAAAGGAACTATACTGAAATAGGAGAAATGACATTTTCAGATCTATGGGGGCCAGCTTGAACCCAGGGTATCTATGATGAAAGATATTATATAAGCTTCACAGATAGAAAATCCTGAAGAACAATATTGTATTTTTTGAAGTCAAAGCAAGATATGGAAATTCAAAAGAAGATCCAGCAGTATCAAAAATACATCAAAGTTCATAAAGAGAAGGATCTGAAGTTTATGAGGATTGACAATAGAAAGGAATATGTCAATGAAGAGGTAAAGAAATATCTCCAGGACAATGGCATATAGTTGGAATTGACTGCAGTATATTCTGTTACAATTTTTCCTATTTTTCTTTTCTTTTTCCTTGGAATTGACTCCTATCTTTGCTTAGTCAGAGCACTTAGGACCATAAGAAGACTTAGTCAGCAACCCAGTTGGTCTTGGTTCTATTGTGCTGCTGTGTGCTGTGAAGAGAGAGACAATGCTCTTTTTGTCCTCAAACTGCAGTGCAGCAGTAACAGCATAACAGCAAGACAATAGCTTTATGGAGAGCTGAGTAACCACAGCAGTAACAGCTCAACAGCCAGACAATATCTTTTGTGAACACTTATTTATAGACAGAGAACCAAACAGTATTTAAGTAGCATAGCTCTCGCTGTAATACCTCAGCTTTGAGCTAAAGTTTATTCTTTACCATCCTATCTCGAGTGACTTGCAATGCCTTGACCACACACTCTATTCAACACATCAGTGAACTCAGTCAGTCTAACCCGAAGTGCGAGATTCTGAACTGTTTATCATATGTTGATAGTCACATGGAGTTTGGACTTAACAATTAGCTCGAAGCTTCTAGCTTTCTTTCTTTAAGCCTAAAGGCTAAAAGAACTGAATGCTTCCATTAACTCTTTTCTTGATCCAATGAACAAGAAATTATATGTCTTCTATTAACAGCTCTATTAACTCCAAAGTACTCTCTTCCTCCATTAAATTGCTGACCACTCTTCTAGAAACCCTAACAATCAGGATAATCACAGATTATCAAGCCAAGGATGACATCATCCATGAACTCATCAATGGCCTCTCTGCCGAGGCCAGAATCCAGGAACTCAGACCCAGACAAGGGTCTGAAAGCATGGGCCAATCAGGTCCTGTTCAAAAGGAGGAGGAACCCCTCCTCAGTGCTCCATGCCTCTCGACCCTCAACTCTGACTCCATTGATGAACTGGTGGAAGAAGAAGAGGTCAAGCTCAGTCAGCAGTGGGGAGACAAGCTCGACGAGCAGTATCGACAGTTGGCCAGAATTAGCTGACCAACAAGATGGAGATCTTCCCCATCAAACCAACCACCTCAGGGCTGAAGATGGCCTGCAGGCACCGAGTGGAATGAAAATCCCAGAGATGACCCTTATGCCTCTGATTGCTGGGACAATCAGGATTAAAGTGCTAATACCGAATCAACAAACACTAGTGGAGGAAGAACAGGAGGCCAGGAATCCCTGTTAGTCTAGGGACAAAAATAGCCCTCAGGCACTGAATGGAATGAAGACCCCAACAATGACTCTTACAAGGTCAACCAATAGGGTCCTGACACAGAAGAAGGAGAAAGCAGTCCAGACAGACCATTATTCTCTGAAGAAGGAGAAAGGGATTCAGATGAATCCTTATCCAGTGAGTCAGGAAGCAGTAGCTTCCTGGCCAATAATGAGTTCTCAGGGGGTAGCAACTTCCCTGATTGGATCATCAAAGCCCAAATACCATGAGCACCCTGAATCAGCAATTGAGCCTTTTGCAAATTCTTGCACAAGAAGCTCACCACCCTTTTCCTCAATTCAAGCTTCTATGATGAATTCTGAAATTACATCAAACAAATTGAAGGCAGGAGGGAGTAGCAATGTAATGCTGAGACCGAGAGGGTATGGAATCTACTCACCTGGGGGGTCCCATACTGGAAGGACTCTAATGATCCCCAGGGCCAATATTGGCCTGAGGGAGAATGGAGAAATCAAAGAGGAGGAAGGCATCCCCTCCACAAATGATCGCTGGTCCAGATTTGTGGATGAGGAGTGGGAGGACTGGCAGAGTAGAGAAGGCCAGTATCTGAAGAACTGGCAAATCTCTTGACTGATCTGCAGCCAGAGAGGATCACCACTAGCATCAGAGATGCTCTTAGTGTTGCCAGAAGAAGACCGGTACTTGTCAAGGGCCACATCATCTCATAGCACCACTTCATGGCTTTTTGAGGAAAGGCCAAAATACTCAAATCCATGGAGATACCCAATGCAGAGGCCATTCACTGGAGTCAGCCTGGATGAAGCTGAAAGCAGTGAGGAAAAGGCACCTGAAGCCCCCCTCTCTACAGAAGATGACCCTGAGGCACTTGCTCAGGGCTGGACAATCAGAAATGGGAGGATCGTATGAAAAGAAGCCCCACTGGGAAGTCCTGTAGCAGATGATGGATCCCTTCATTCCTTCCTCAGATCACTGACTAGATGGGGAGGCCCACCTGAGGATGGACCTCCAAATCTCATGCTCTCTCTCGATCTGAAGGCAAACATTTTAAATGTCAAACCAATCCTTATGTGGGAGACCCTTCCCTTCAAGAGGGTATCCAATGATATCGACAGATTCCTTACTGACTGTGACTAATATTTCCAAGTATTCATCTCATTCTTCCTGCTTGACATGTACAAAGTAATGCATGCTATAACATATTTGGAAAATAAGGCAAAAACGTGGTGGATCCTTATTGCTCCCTCATTCTGGTCACAATCATGACAACATCATTGGTATCCCTCATAGCTGATATTCAAACAAATGATCTGAGACAAGTTCACAGATCCAGCCATTCAAGAAGTCCATAAACAAAAAATGAAGGACTACAAGATGGGTGACAAGGCAGCTTCAGACTACTTTGATGAGTTAGAATGACTAGAGAAACTTGCTGGGGTATGAGAAGACACAGCTGACATGGGAAGGATAGTCGAATACATGAAAAAGGGATTGCCACTCTCTTACTTCAAAACTATTTCAAATCTTGGACACAGTATTCCAGTCAGCTATGATGATTGGAAAGCCAGAATCACCCTCATGTGGCAAGAATGACAATAGTAGAAGGCAGAATCATCCACCCTATCATGGGATAGACATAGGAACCAGAGACAGGGCTGGAAGCCCTTGAATTAGATGACCACATCATCCAGGCCTGGAGACTCTGCCTCAACTTCTCAATATGCCGAGAAGCAAACTGGTATGGGCACAACATATACTGAAACAGGTAAGCCAATGGATGTGGATTGTCTCAAGAAAGGGGGAAAATGTTTCAATTGTGATCAGAAGGGTCACATGGCATGAGACTGCCCCCAGAAGAAGAACAAATACATCTGAGAAGACATTCAGGCATAAATTGCTGAGCTGATAAAGGAAGAACAAGACCTTGACTAAGAGGACAAGGCAGAAGAGGGAAAAGGCAGAGCCAAGCAGTGAGTGATTCCACTGACTCAGCCAAGGACTTGAGTAACAGGTCACAAACTGCTGGACAGACTGATACTTTCTCTATAGGTGACCCCTCTATGTCTAAATTATGCATGCATTCAAATATACCTGACCTTGTTACTGATAAACCAGAATTGCCTAAAAGACCAATTACAATAACTCAAATGCCAACAAAGGGCCGAAGAGAGGCAGAGAGCCCCAAAGGTGTGTTCTCATCAAAGGTTCACCAGACTAACCTTCTAGAACAGGTGGACCAAACCAGGAAAATGGACCCCACTAGATGGCTTAAACCATTCAACACCGAATGGACCTGGCGAGCCATCAAAAATGCAAAGAATGAAGAAGTGGCAAAAGCCATACTCAAGAATTGGATACACAGGACCTAAGCCGAAGAAGTGATCGACAACATGATCACAGGAATGTGAGAAGCAGAATGATGTCAAGCTCTAAAATGGCTTGATGAACTATATGGACTAAGAAAGTTCATCTGACAATCCAAGACTTCAGGTCAAGACCTATTGACCAAAGTCTGAATTGAGACACTCACATCTCGAAGCACTTACAAAGTTACTGCACTAGTCGATAGTGGATACACTGGAAGCTCCATTAACTATGCTTTTATCAACAAGCATAAACTTTCAACCCAAGCTATAGCAGCACCAATTCCAGTCTATAATGCAGATAGAACAAAGAACCAAGCTGGCTCAATCACTGAATATGTCAAGCTTAGACTCACCATCAGAGATCATTCTGAATGAATTGACTTGGCAGTAACTGATTTAGGCACCAAGGAAATATTCCTGGGACATGATTGGTTAATCTGACACAATCTGCTCATCAACTGGAAGACCAGATGCATCATTTTTGCCAGATGCTGATGCCAGAAAATTCCATTCGAACTGCCAGATGAAGATCCTGAGGACTGGTGGGATGAAGAAATAGAAGATGGAGAAACAATTCTTGCCATGGATCTGCAAAAGGCTATCAATATTCAAGCCATGCATCATGCAAACAACTTGGTGGCAAAGGCCAATGCAGAGAAGGAAGAAAAAACATTTGAAGAAATAATGCTGGGGTGGGCAAGGGACTATCGAGACTTATTCCAAAAAGAAAGTTTTGATGAGTTACTCAACCCAAAGCCCTGGGACCATGCCATCAAATTAGTCTCAAACTCCAACGCCAATCTGAATTGCAAAACCTATCCACTTGGCAACAATGAATAACAGGAGTTGGACAAGTTCCTCGAAGAGAACTTATCCAGTGAAAGGATTCGGCCATCAAAATCACCAATGGCATCTCTCTTCTTCTTTGTCAAAAAGAAGGATGGTAAACTTTGACCAGTACAGGATTATCAGAAGCTCAATGAAATGATGATTAAAAATCATTATCTGCTTTCTTTAATTTTGGAGTTGATGAACAAACTCCGAGATGCCAGGTACTACACCAAACTGGATGTGCGGTGGGGGTATAACAATGTGCATATCAAAGAAGGTGACGAATGGAAGACCACTTTCCAGATAAACTGCAGATTGTTCGAACTGACAGTTATGTTCTTTGGACTCACAAATTCGCTGGCCACCTTCTAATGGATAATGAATGATATCTTTAAGGATCTCATTGCCACTGGAAAAGTCATGATCTATTTAGATGATATTCTCATCATGTCCAAAACCAAAGAGGAGCATTGACAACTAGTATGGTGAGTATTAGCATTGATGAGGAAACACTGTCTTTTTCTCAAGGCAGAGAAGTGTGAATTCAAGGTACTCAAGACCAAGTACCTTGGAGTCATTATTAGTGAAGGGGCCATATAAATGGATCCCATCAAGGTTGCTGGAGTAACTGAGTGGCTGGAGCTGACTAAGAAGAAGGAACTGCAATCATTCTTAGGATTCACCAACTTCTACCACCAGTTCATTCAGGACTACAGCAAAGTGGTCTGACCTATGATGCAATTAACTGGAAATGCACCATGGAATTAGAGACCAGCATAACAATCAGTGTTTGATAATTTTAAACGCTGATTAACTGAAGACATCATACTTGCTATACCAAATCAAAAAGAAAAGTTCTGAGTGGAAGCTGACTCAAGTGAAGGAGCAATAGGAGTGGTACTCTCTCAGGAATAGGATGGCAAATAGTGACCTGTCATGTTCATGTCAAAAGCACTTACAATAACAGAATGCAATTATGAAATATATGACAAGAAACTCCTTGCTATAATGCTTGCCCTTGCCAAATGGTGGCATTATCTCATTAGAGCAGTCCAGATCTTTGAGATCTGGACAGATCACCAGAACCTTCGATATTTCTGACTTTCACAGAAACTGAATTGCCAACAGGTCTGATGGATCATGGAGTTATCTGAATATGAATATATGCTATACCACAAAGCTGGTGCAGCAAACAAGAAGGCCAATTTCCTCAGCCACAGGGCAGACCATGACTAAGGAGGAACCAACAATGAAAGAGTCATATTATTACAACTAGAACACTTCCAGGCTATGATTATGCCCACTGAGGAGAAAGTACATGAGCACATCAAGAGTGCTACTCAAGACCCCCATAAGTGAGATCAAAGAATCGCTCCATCACTCAATCATGAGCAGGGACTAAAGAAAGAGGGAGGATTGATCTGCTATGATGGATGGATCTATATCCCAAGGGATCAGGGACTTTGTGGTGATGTCATCACTATCTGTCATTATCACATGACCACCAGACATCCCAGGATCGCTAAAATGAAGGAATTAATCCTGAGAGAATATTGGTGGCCTAAAATAGACCATGATATCACCCAATATGTCAAAGCTTGTGA